TCTCAGCACCCTTAATAAACTGCAGTTCCCAAGATTCTTTGGGAGAAGCCACGTGGTTTGAATGTGCGTGATCTTCATTTTGAGAGACGGCGGTTGTGAGGCCACATTGTCGCTAGATGGCAGCATTAATTACTTGTTATTTTTTAATGCAGCGACAGCCCTGTTTGATGGATCCACTGACAATTTATGATGCAAACTCAGATGAAGCTTTCCACATTACACGTCTTTAGGTTTACCCCTAAGAGTTTTAAGTATACAATGGAAAATATGAAGTGAAAATGTTACAAATGTGTAGAGCAGAGATTTTCAACCTTTTTGGGTCCACGGCTCCCTTGACCAACTACATTCTTTCTGCGGCACCCCTGTGGGGCTCAGGAGCCCAGTTACTTCACCCCTTGCCTGCAGAGCTGGCAGCCTCTCACCCTTTTTCGAACACCCTCCCTTGTGGAGTGTTCCTCAGTCTCCTCTCCCCTCTCCTCTCCTTGGAAGTCCACAGGCAGCCACTGCTGCCACCCGGGTCTCTGAGTTGCCCACCCTGCCCCACAGAGAGGTGCCTCCTCACACTGCCCCACAAGGGCCTGGGAAGCACCCCCTGGCCAGCCCCAGAGGCATCATTCACCTGGGGAGCTTGTAGCCAGGGCTGCTGCAACAAACAGCTGTGCAAGCCTTTGGGAGGCAGAGATGGGAGAGGACATCAGAGGAAGGGCGGGAAGAAAAGAAAGAAAGAAAGAGGCCAGTGTTGCACTCCGGACTATCATTCAAGGCACCCCAGGGTGCCATGGCACACTAGTTGAAAACCACTGGTATATTTGCTAGTGTTGGGATTGGTTGTAGCTCTCGAAGAAGTGTATGATTGGTGGAAAATCTGGATTTCCTGGCGTTTTGGGTGGTATTCAACCAAAGTTTACTCATCGTAGACCCATTTCAATCCATGAACACGGCCATTCACTTTGGTAGGTCAATCTATTCCGAGTCAAACTTAGTTGAATACCACCTATAATGTACCAGAAGTTCATATCACAGAATGGACGTTGTGTTGGATCTTCGGTAAGAGGTTCCATAAATCAAACACAAAGATGCTTTGTTTGGGAATCCAGAATCTTGCTTCAACAGTGAGTAGTTGTGTGAATCTGGGGTCACTCCGTAGTAGCCCCTCAAACCTGGTTGCAACAAGAATGAGGCTTGACATTTGTTATGTCTGTTCAGGACTATACTACACCCCCATGTGGCAGCTGAGCGAATAAAATAAAAAACAACAACTCCTGTTTATTTTACAAATTCATGCTTCAGGAAGCTAAAATCAGGAGCAGGAGAGCAGGGGCGGTGGTCCTGGGGAAACTCAGCCAGATGGATGATGATGATGATGATGATTAGCTCCTGATTTCAGCCCTACCTGCTGCTTTCAGTTAAATTTAAAATATATGGAGGAGTGATGGAATACAGTATAACGAATTGGCAGTCTTAACCATGAAAATTAGAGGTCAAGGAGAGGCAGTTTTTAAGCAGGATTGGAAATCTTTTGTAGAATATATCTAAAGAGTTATTGTAAAACATGTAAAAAATGCAAGTAGAATTTGAATGAATAACAGCAGCAAAGCATGTATCTGGGAACAAGTGGAATAGATATGGTATACTTATAATATGCAGCAATCCTTGAAAATATGGGAAAACTACAGGGGGTTGGAAGTTGAATGATAAATGAATCATAATTGGAAAATATATTGTGTATTAAATTTGTAAACTTTTGAACTTTATTATATGTGTGTGTGTGTGTGTGTATAGTGGTACCTCTGGTTACGAACTTAATTCGTTCTGGAGGTCCATTCTTAACCTGAAACCGTTCTTAACCTGAGGTACCACTTTAGCTAATGGGGCCTCCCGCTGCTGCCACTGTGCAATTTCTGTTCTCATCCTGAGGTAAAGTTCTTAACCCGAGGTACTACTTCCGGGTTAGCGGATTCTGTAACCCGAAGTGTTTGTACCCCGAAGTGTTTGTAACCTGAGGTACCACTGTATATGGGGAGGAAAGCCACAATTGCCCATGGGGTGAGCACAAGACGATCTCCTCTAGGTCACTGCTTGCCAGCTCAGAGATGGCAAATGAACAATTTTCAACCACAAGGTGGAGGAGGAGCAGAGCCCAGAGCCCGGTAGAGGGTAAGCAGGTTGGCCTCAGCAGGTGCCCAAGGATGCTACGCACTGGTACTGACCTTGAAACTGCACATCACATGTAGCATGGCTCCAGAGGTTGGCACAAAAGGCCTTATTTAGTTCTTGTGTAGAAGATGGGATTTCTGCAGGCGATATTTGCATGGCTCCTTTGCAGCCTATTGCCTCCTGAATCTAACACCGAGTTCTCACAGGCAGCAGATGAAGCGATGAAACCTATCGTTTGTGCCACTCTAGTCTACAAATGAAGACATACGAAGTTGCCTTATATGGAACCAGGTGACTGGTCCATCGAGTTATAGGATATGAAAAAAAGATTCCCCCACACATTGAAAATTAGCACGTCGGGAAGAAGGCTGGGCAACAACCCTTCTTGATACTAGTTTTCTGTGTGCAGGGATATATTATTTTATGGAATAACATATGAATACCTGCTTGCCGCCTGAGATGGTAAAGTCCAGGCACAAATTTACCATCTCATTGGCTGCTTTTCAGAACTTGGCCCCAGTCTACCCTTGGTCTTTGCCAAGTTTATGGTCAAAGAACAATTAGGAAATGAATTTCAAATTTTCCTTCCTCTTCTGCTTCCCCACGCCTTCACTCTGCAAATTTTTGTAGTTAAGGCATAGTAAACACATTAAATATTATGCCAGTTTACAGAATTTATTCAGAATTATTTAAACAGCAGAGTTTGGTAGTTCACATTTCTTCGTCTTTACATGTTTCTACCTCTGATGTGGCCTGATTATGATAGCTAGATAGCTAGATGGATTTGTGGTTCTCTAGTTGTTGTCCAGCTCCCTTCAGCCCCAGACAGGATTCACTGTGAATCACTTAACTTCACTCATAAACATAACTCATGGGGCTTGGGGGGGGGGAGGGAAATCCCTGTTGCCAAAGCCAGGCTTTCAACCTCTGCTTTAATTCTCATTTACTATGTTTAGGTAGTGTGTAGTCTAAATTGATGCATGCTGGCTTAGAAGTAAGTTCTGCCAAGTTCAGTTGCTCCTAGATAAACACGCACAAAATTGCAGCTGCAACCCTGTTCACATTACCTGGAAGTAATCCCATCCTATGCACATTTGCCCTATGACTGCTCATTGGACGAACACAGACTCACTTTTTGTGAAAGTTAACAATGCAGTTCCATGTGTGTGTGTACTTGGAATCCATGTTCATTCCATGAGTGGGCCAGTCCACTTGAATCTCTGGCCACTGTTACTAAATAGCTGCTCTGAGCCTGGCTTTGGATGGGGAGGGCGGGATATAAATACAATTTTATTATTATTATTAAATTCATCTATGTGTGCTGTGAAGCAGTGTTCCCACCTATTTTGGCACCTGCTGAACAATGACTGTTGTTTCTGTAGACAGTAAAATGAATGCCCTTTTTCGTAATACTACATAGTACATAACTTTACCCCCAGATCAAGGCTGTAGTCTTAACAATAGCTGTGCCAGTGCAGTGCAATCACTCCAGCTGGAGTAGCAAATGTGCAGGAAGGCTTGGAGGAGTCACTATATGTAAGCCTGACATGAAGGTCAGCAGTTCGAATCCAGAGTCGAGATGCAGGAAGATTACAATTTGTGCATCTTCATATCAATGAAAGCTTATGCCACTGTTGATGTATCTAAGGAGCCACAGGACTCTTTGCTTCACCATAACAGACCATTAATGCTAGCACCATTCTGTAATTTATCTATAGTGGTTTTATTTATGCCCACAGCAGTAGTATAAGTAAGTAAAGGTAAAAGGTAAATGACCCCTGGACAGTTAAGTCCAGTCAAAGGCGACTATGAGGTGTGTCACTCATCTTGCTTTTCAGGCCAAGAGAGCCTGCATTTGTCCACAGACAGCCTTCCGGGTCATGTGGCCAGCATGACTAAACCGCTTCTGGAGCAACGGAACACCATGACGAGTGCCAGAGCATATGGAAACACAATTTACCTTTCAGTTGCAGTGGTACAGCTTGCACTGGTATGCTTTCGAACTGCTAGGTTGGCAGAAGCTGGGACAAAGCAACGGGAGCTCACCCCGTCACGCAGATTCGAACTGCCAACCTTCGGATCAGCAAAAGCCCAAGAGGCTCAGGGGCTTAGACCACAGCACCACTACTGTAAGGAACACTGAGTTGAACTGGATGCACTCCTAGGTAACGATGTACTGGATTATAGCCTTTGGTTGCAATTAATTGTTTTTAATTGTTTTAAAACAACAAAAGTTTTTAAAGTTCGTTGTCTCACTGTGTTTTGACTTGTTGGAAGCTTCCCAGAGCATCCGGATTATCCCAGTTAGAGGGTTGGCATATAAATAATAAATTATTTTTATTAATCATAAAAGTGCAAACGAAACGATGAGGGAGGAGAAAAATAGAAAACATAACGGAGAGAGAGAAAAAGGTAGAGAAACTAAAGCATAAAGCGTCGTTAGGTTGTAATGGTTAAATGGTTTATTCTACAGTAGTCATTCCGCCCAAATCAATGAGGTAACGGGCTGCCCGTTTACAAAAACTCAGAGCCGTAATTAGAAATAATCCGTTTAAAGCAGAAACAAAAGAACGCAGCGTGGAAAGCTCAAGCAGGCCCCGGGAAAAGGGCGGCGATCCGCGGAGCCTGCAGCTGCAGCTGCCGCCAGCTCATCGCTCGGCGGCTCACCTGCCGCCCACTTCTGACACCCTTCCAGGCTGATGCAACCACCACAACACAACCACGTGGCCACCGTCAGCTGTTTCCACCTCGCCGGCCAATCGCTGCCGGCCCTGTTGGCGTCATGGGCGGGGCCTGAGAGCTCCGGAGCCCAGGCTTGCAACCGAGGGCTTCCCAACCCGTCCGAAGCGGGGGGCGGAGCTAAAGGCGGCCCTTCCGAACCTTCGCCGCCCAATAGGAAAGCTGGGCCGGGAAGATGGCGCCGCCCTCAGGCCGGCGCTCACTGCGAGGCTTGTTGTTGCTGCTGTCGCTTCTGCCGTGGAGCTGTGACTGCGGAGTGGGGGGCGGGAAGACTTAAGTCCGGCAGGGGAGATAGACGCCGAACCCCGGCGAGGGGCAGAAATCGAGGCCGGGGCTTCGGCGCGACCTCCGTCCATGGAGGCCGCCGGCGGAGAAGGGGAGCCGGAGGCGCTCAGCTGCTTCTCCTACAACCAGGACTGCACGTACGTGAGTGGGGAGAGGGCAGAGCGGGTCAGGCTCCCCTTCCCTGCCCGTCCCCTCGCTTCCACCCCGGGGAAAGAGGGAGCCCAGCCCAGGGAGCGAAGCCATCCTCTCCTCCAGGCTGCCCAAGGCGGGGAAGGGACGGCGGCCTTTGGGGAATGCGGGGACGCGGATAATAATAATAATAGTAACAACAACAGAAGCAAGGAAGGGAAGAAGGGGCGGGGTCGTGGAAACGGTGCCTACAGAATTAATGGATACCCGGTTTAGTTTGGAGATCTTGTTAACAGCATCTTTGGATTATTCCCGCTCTCTGAGGTGCGCTAAAATTAGGATAACGTGGGCAAAAAGTTAAGTCTGGTGTGTGATGGATAAGCTTTTCCCTATCGCCACACTTCCCCACGAGCTGAGTGGATCCCGATTTTTTTAAAAAGTCCCAACAAGTCGAAATTTACTGCGCATAGTGACCAGTTGATTTATTACTGCGTAAATTTTGGACTCTAGGTCTTCAGCACCCATCATTTTCATACATGTTTAACTGCATGTTTGCCTGTGTTATAACCATGACTTGAGGCATCAAGCAAATACATATATATGTGTGTGTGTGTGTGTGTGTGTGTATGTATCTAGACATACATATATATATGTGTGTGTGTATATATGTGCGTATATATATATATATATACACACACACACACACCACATTTTCTATTATTTACAAAGTTATTAAGGGTGTTTTTTTTAATGGAGATGTAAGAACACCAATCATCTGATTGCAGGGTATTGCTTCATAAGCTATTGCAAATTATTCTAAGAACATAGGGTTACACAAGCAGTGTTTAGATATAATCAACTGTGAATTGCTTGAATCGTTTTGTTCATGTTATAGTGTATCAGTATAGAGTATCAGTGGGATGGCTGAGCTTGTAGGTCATTGTGGAGTTTGATGGCTGTCAAATATAGTCTCAGGTCACTATTGATCTGATATTGCTGTATTTCATCTTCATAGGCATAATTGCTGAAAAGCCTGTCTCGCAAAATTATGTACCATCAAATGGCATCAGCACTTGTATTGCTTCACCAGCAAGCTCAGGATACTTGGTAATAACAGAGTAATTTTGGTAGCATGAATCCAAAATTCAGATAATCTCACTTCCAAATATTTTTCCTTTGAGGTTCCTATCGCATGATAATTCAGTGACGACTTTGTGATATCAGCTGCAAATGGGTTCCACACCCACTCAAACTTTTGTGTTTCTTAAGCAGAAAAGTAGTGGGAAAAGTTTAACTAAGCAAACTTGGTTATCCTTGGCTAAAAGATTAAGTCTCATGACAGATTCAGTGACAGCTCACCACAAGTGCCTGTGCATCAGAACTGAGCTGTAACACTCCGAATAATTCCCTATATAAGCATCTCTTGGCAAACTGTCACTGAATTTGCCACCAGAGAGTAGTTACCAAGTGCTAAAATGTAAGGATTGAGCCTTTCTGACATTCGGTTACAAATGTAAACATCATTATAATATGCCAACAAAAGAAAAAGTTGTAATAGGTATCATCATACCAGTTTACAGGATTAAAAGCAATAATTATATTGGGTTTAGGTTTAAATCCACTTGCACAAGCTTTGTGACCCGCTTGCAGGTCACAGTCTGGAGGTTAGGAAACACTGCTCTGGGGTATGAAATTGAATATGGTTAGACTTTGGGTTGCTCAGCCTTATGATTCTATATAAGCTAGCTTTCCACCAGCTCAAGAATAGGTTAGAAATCCCAAAAGAACTGAAGCCAAGCCCCAAAGCCTGGCTTTCCCCTTTTATCACTCTCCAGCTCTTTGTGCAGTGGCTGTGATGATGCCTTTTCATTTTCTCCTCTTCTGTCCTGTACTTGCCTTTTGTAGCTTATCCCGTGAACCAAATGAAAAGGAAAGGCGATCTTGTTTAGCAGGAAGGGCAACAGGAAATGCCACAATGGTGTGTTCACAGTTTAAATCCCAAGTATGGTTTCAGTTGTCCCACTTCTTAAAAATCTAACTGAAACGATGTGCACTGATGACAGACAGTAACGGACTCCTCCTTGATGAAGGATGCGTTAAACTGGAGATGGGGAAGCTGTGGCCCTCCTATAACTTCCTGAACTGCAGCTACTATTGTACTTGACCATTGATGATACCGGCTGGGGCTGTTCGGCCCAATCGCCGTCTAAATTCGGCCCACCTTAGGTCCGGGAATCAGCGTGTTTTTACATGAGTAGGATGTGCCCTTTTATTAAAACACATCTCTGGGTTATTTATGGGGCATAGGAATTCGTTCATTCCCCCCCCCCAAAAAAATATAGTCTGGCCCCCCACAAGGTCTGAGGGACAGTGGACTGGCCCCCAGCTGAAAAAGTTTGCTGACCCCTGATATAGAGAGCCGCAGGTCCCCTCCCCCCGGTTTTAAAGGAAAACTATTACAGTGGTACCTCGGGTTAAGTACTTAATTCGTTCCGGAGATCCGTACTTTACCTGAAACTGTTCTTAACCTGAAGCACCACTTTAGCTAATGGGGCCTCCTGCTGCTGCCGCGCCGCCGGAGCACGATTTCTGTTCTCATCCTGAAGCAAAGTTCTTAACCTGAAGCACTATTTCTGGGTTAGCGGAGTCTGTAACCTGAAGCGTATGTAACCTGAGGTACCACTGTATCCCTTTGGCAGGGCTTAAACTCTTGTGCCTGTTTCTATTGGGGTATATAATCCTGTAGGACCACATATTGCAATGCATTAAACGTTTAGCATATCTTTCTTTTTACTCTAGAATGTGTGAGGCACTTCTCCATCTTTTTACTGCTTGTATGCTTTGGAAACAAGATGTAGGGTTGGCCCAGATTTCTGAAGTGTGAAAGCAGTGTAAAAGAAATGTAGCTACATTTGTACGTTTTCAGGATAGAAAGTGATACACGCCGAAGTACTAAGGTATGCCTGCATCTACTGTAATATATGAAGCAGTTCTTGGTGTTGTTGAAACGGGAATTGGCACAGATTGGTGTTTGTTTTTATACATTCCTCTGATGCAGGGTGGCATGGTACTCGCAGCAGCGTAGCTAGCCACTCGGGCACACAGGGCTATGTGCCCGGGACAGCTGCCCATGGGGGTGGGGCAAGCCACCCATTGGGCGAGGCGAGCTGGGGCAGGTGCCAGCCACCTCCCCTCAGCTGGAGGGTGGCTGCGGCCGGGAGAGAGGTGGCAACTGGGGCGCCCCTGCAAGCCGCGCACCACACATATCTCATTCCGCTGGAGGGCGCCCCGCAGCCCTAGCGCTGCCCATGGACTTCCTCCGCTACTGGGTATTCCCCTTGTGGCCCCCACAACCCCTGTGGTTCTATGAAAACAAGTTTCTTGTTTTCCTCATGGTTGCAGAGAGCAGTTTGATTCTTGGATGTCAAATAGTGCTCAAGAATGCAAACGAATGAGAAGAAAACATCCTCTTTCTCATTCCCCCACCCAATCCCATCCATCCATCTATCTTATCTTTATATTAAAAAAATTTCTCTCTCTCCAGGGTCTTTCAAGGGTTGTAGCAGTTTCCAACTATGGAAGTTGTTGAACAGGCTCCAGCAACTGCCGTATTGCATTAAACAAGTTACAATGTGATTTTTCCGGTCACATTAATCACGTGCAATTAAGGTGCAGGATGAGTCTCCTGTCTTCACTGTGCTTCCATTGTGGTTGTTAGTGCTGTGCAATAAATCCTGAGGAACTGGTCATTGCCTTAAACAGGATGTGGAGAAAGGTGAACTTGAGGTCTGACATCTTATCACTTTATAATTTGGTGGGGGGGGGGGAGGGAAGCAACCTCTGAGCCAGAAATATATTACTGTGAACAGGAAATATCTTTGCTCTGAGCCAAAATGCGAGAAACAAAGGACATTGAAGGAAGTCATCAGGGAGCATGTTTCAAACAAACAAAAGGCAGAAGGCTTTCATACTGGTTGCTGCCTAATTGGTCTATGAAACACTTTGCCATAGGGCACAGTGAATGAAAGTCAAATTAGTTTAACACATGATGTGACACATTCTAGGTTCAGATGTTAGGTGGATTGGGGGTGTTTCCTGATGTTTAGGGGATCTGGAAGTGAACACCAGTGGAGGGATCATTCAATACAATGCTAGAGATGGATTGACTATTAGTGTGAGCACCTGTTGCAGTTATTTTGTTTTGATAATAAAACCATACTGATAAGAATATAAACTGTGGGCAAATTAAAGGGAGCACAGATGGATTAGATTCTTAAACTGAGGGAGGGAACTCCAAGAAAAGGCATTGCCTTGTTGGATCAGATTAAAGGTCCATTAATTCAGCAGTCTGTCTCCAATACTGCCCAGATCAGTGTCTCTGGAAGTTCAAACTATGTCATAGCTAACCCCTGTTTGTCTCCAGGCATTTGGTAATTAGAAGTTTATTTCCTGTGGTCACAGACGGTCAGAAAAGCCAGTCATGTGACATGGTATGTAAACCCTTTCTACAAACAAATCATAGGTTAAATAATTTTCGGGCAAAATGTGTAAAATCTTAGTGGAAGCACTGTCTTCTGAATGGGAAAGACTCCTTCTCTTTGGCATAGGGGCACCACAAATTAAAAGTCTCTTGTGTCTGCCCATCTGGCTTCCAGATGCGCCTGCTTCAGGACAAATTAAGGTTTCCAGGGTGAATTAGAGCTCAATAAACTAGGCTGGGCTTCTGCATGAGTACGCTCATCGTTAGATGGAACATCCCTGTGCAACATCTGCCATATTCAGACATCATTCTAAGCTTTCAGTCCTTCATGAGTCGGAATATGTGCAAGTGGCTTTCACCTGCATGCAGCCCCTTTTTGCCACTTTACTCTTCCCCTTTGTGCGAGTAGCAAAAAAACCCCACCAGGATTCTGAACATTAATAATAGATTATTGTTCAGTCTAAACCTGGAACTTAAGATTAAGAGCTTCCAAATGAGCCAACTTCAAAGCCCTAGTTTAAATCTTGCTTTTAATCCTGGCTTGTATGGAAGCGCTTAACCATAGTTCCCAGTCTGGACAAATCAACAAACTATGGTTAAGAGTCGAATTCTGACATGTTTTGCAAGGCAGCAGGAGAGGGGCTGCATTCAGGTTTACACTGTGCATATCCTGAGCTATGATTGAAAGCTTAGTGTGATATCCAGGCATGACCAACCTTTATCTTCCTTTTGATTCAGTTTTCTGGGCTCACTATTAGAAGAGACAGCCTTAGTCCTTCATCATAGATGTGGGAATTTGTGTGCATGTGTGTAGTATAAATCCCATCTTGATTTCCATAGTGCTTGCTGTCTCAGCAGTAATATAACCTGGCTCACTTTCATTCCCATTTAAAGATGGAGAACTGACTCTGACTTGACCAAAACCACCCAGTAAAGCCATAGCAAATGGGAGACTTAGAACCTAGGCATAACACACTCCAAAGCTATGCCACAGCATCAATGTTACTACTGCTATTTGACTCTTACTTTGCATCTGCTGAGTTCTAGGTGCTGTATAGTAGTCGTCGTCGTCTTCTTTGGCGATCACTCCTAGCCGAGTAAGATTATCTTCCATAAACACGGTTTTAACAGTGAGTCCGTAAGTGATTGTGGAGACCAATTCTGGATCCACACGCCCTTCCACAAAGGGGACATAGGTTTCCGGGCGGGAGTTGATCATAGCGAGGGTTTGCCAAATGTGCCTTCCTCTTAGCACGTTTCTCCCTTTCATCCTGGGTTCGAGTGTCTTCAAAGCCCATGGCACTTTTGGTAAAGTCTGTTCTCCAATTGGAGCGCTCGCAGGCCAGTGTTTCCCAGTTGTCGGTGTTTATACTACATTTTTTAAGATTTGCCTTGAGAGAGTCTTTAAACCGCTTTTGTTGACCACCAGCATAACGCTTTTCATTTTTAAGTTCGGAATAGAATACAGTGGTACCCCAGGCTACATACGCTTCAGGTTACAGACGCTTCAGGTTAAAGACTCCGCTAGCCCAGAAATAGTGCTTCAGGTTAAGAACTTTGCTTCAGGATGAGAACAGAAATCGGGCTCCGGCGGTGCGGCAGCAGCAGGAGGCCCCATTAGCTAAAGTGGTGCTTCAGGTTAAGAACAGTTTCAGGTTAAGTACGGACCTCCAGAACAAATTAAGTACTTAACCTGAGGTACCACTGTAGTTGCTTTGGAAGACGATAATCAGGCATCCGTATAGTATTGGGGCAGGGGAGCAACACAACCCCTAACTAAAAGCTTTAAAGTCTACATTGGATGGAGAAGATAAAAGTATAGGAAGAAGAGGTCAGGACAGTTTACATTTTAGATGTGGGTGAGAAAGGAGAATCCGGTAACTGAAAAAGTGCATGTGAGGTAAGCCTAGAAGAGAGTCAAAAAAAGGCTTTGCTGAAGAAGTGGATTGTGAGGAGGAAATTAAAAGAAAAGAAGCAAGTGCTTCAAAAAATGTGAAAAAATTGTTCCAGGCATGAAATACCAGGGCAGAAGGTAAGAAGTTGGAAAATGAGACAGGGAGTGTCGTCAGTAGCAGATGAATTTTGATCTTGTCTAAACGTTGATGGTCCTGCTCCCATATTTGGAGCGTCAGTAAATGAACGTGAGACATAGCTAGTCCCTATCTCCCACATAACGTTTTAAAGCTACGGATCCTTCTGTTACTGATTGCATTCTGTGCAATACCTAAGATCTACAGCTTCTAATAATAGAAGTAAAGCTACCTCTGCAGCCCTTCATGTGAGCCGACGTTTCAGAGGAAATTTGCATAAGATAGGAATTAGCATCCTGGGCTGTGCCATTTTAGACTGCAAGACAAAGGCTGTATGTTTGAATGGTCCCTAACATAAAACTTCCTGCACTTAAGGGCAGTAGTATTTTGAGAGGGTAGTTTTGGGGTCAGAAGGTTTTCCCCTGGCAGCTGGGTTTCCATGTGTAGCTTTTCTTGGATATGGGGGAAACATTCAGAAAAACAGCCCTCTCTACCTGCATGGTGGAATGGTTGTATGAAATTAGGTTTTTAATAGGTTGTGTCTAATCTTAGTACTCTTTGCCCTAACAAATGCTAAATAACAGAATGGGGCTGATAAAGACCTGAACTCAGAATATGCTCTGCCTTTCTGGGAAACAGAATGGTGGAGCAACATCCCTTCCCTTCCTGCTCAGATAATTCTGAGTGACAGCTTTCACAATATACCCAATGTCATCAGTATCTGGCAGCCTCCCTTGTTATGCCATTCTAGAACTGTGTTTCTCTAGAACTACTTAAAAGGCCATTGCAGCGTTTTAATTCTCTCTTGTGTCACATTTCCTGCTTTACAGGTTTGCTTCTCTTATTTATATCTGATTCATGCCTGCCAGGTTGCAAATTGCTATATAATGGTGCCATTCAGATCCCAATGGGATTGTTTGTCCGAGGTTTGGGTTGCTGGTGTGCTAAAGATCCAGTGCACATTTATTTTGAGAAGCGAAGTTGCATTTATTTTTGTGCTTTGGGATTTGAATCTATGGCCAAGTGGGGAAATGAGGATTATGGAAAAGATCAGCAGTACCTGTGTGTCACTTTATATGCACGCACACAAAATCTCTATGTTTAGAAATGTAAAACCTGGTACATGAAGAAGTATCAGATAAATTATATTGGAAGTTAAATGTGGATTATTTGGAAAGAGACAGGAAGATGTCTCTTAACTAATATATAAATGTAATGCCTGTGTCTTATAGTTTGGGGTAGGGGAAGTAACAAGGAAGCGAGCTGCCAAACATTAGAGGACAGCATTTTGCCTATTTTGCTTTCATTACCTACCTGGTTGGGTTGACTCTGAAGCCCAAATGTCGCCTTATTCCAGTAAGTATCTCTATCAGTTAAGGGAGCAATCTGACTCACACTGGCGTGCCAGCTGAAGGGCCTCAGAAAGCTAAGTCCTGCTCTGCCAGTAGAGATGGAAGTAGGCTAGCAGGTCAACATCCCACTAGATGTCCTCTGGCCCACATGTGGAAAGCTCTGCTGGAATAGGAGTTCCCATTGGTGGAGCAGGGAGAAACAGTATGCATCTGAGGTGGGAACAGAGTTGTCACATCCTAAGCCTCTTTGTTCCCTTGATATACCTCTGGAACTAAGGTGCTAGGGTAGTTAATTCCCTGCTCACAGTGAGGTGGCTGGGAGAGGATGTGGCTGTTACTCTGCCAGCAGATCTTCTCCTTTCACCTTAGTCGATGTAAGGTAGGATTTATCTGTTCATTGGATCTCATTGCTATCACCACTGTGTATGATATCTTCAGCCCAGGGATGGGGAAAATCTTGGCGGAATTGTAATCGTGTCTACTAAAAAGTACTGTATTTTTTGCTCTACAAGACGCACCAGACCACAAGACGCACCTAGTTTTTGGAGGAGGAAAACAAAAAAAATATTCTGAATCTCAGAAGCCAGAACAGCAAGAGGGATCGCTGCGCAGTGAAAGCAGCAATCCCTCTTGCTGTTCTGGCTTCTGGGATAGCTGTGCAGCCTGCATTTGCTCCATAAGACGCACGCACATTTCCCCTTACTTTTTAGGAGGGAAAAAGTGAGTCTTATAGAGCAAAAAATGCGGTAGGTCCTACTGAGTTCAGTGGGGCTTACTCCTAGTTAGGCATGCTTAGGATTGAGGTCATAAACAGGTTGACAGATTAACAGTGTAATCCTATGCATGTTTAGTTGGAAGTAAATCCCACTGTATTCATTTGGGTTTAGGATTGTACCTTCTTATGCATTTTGTTATGCCTCTTTTATTCAGTCTCCTAATTGCCTACTCATTCTCAACTTCAACCACTAGTCAGGAAAGGTAGGAAGATTAGCTTGCATATGTCAGTATATCTGACAGTTATCTGTTAGTTAGCAAGTGTGTGTATATGTGTGAAAATTTGCTTGTTGAGCATTTGAACAAAGAGCATTGGAAGAAAACTGATAGGGACTCTTGTATGTTATACGCAAATGTGTCGTCTTCATTTTAGGATATTTTAAGGTAATCACAAATGAAACATTGACATGTACAACTGCTTAGATCAAGCAAGTTAGCATGACAGCAGTTAAATGTAATGCTTTGTACCTGCTGTGTGTACATTTGGCAGGGCAAACCAACTGTTGCAGAACTGTCATCTGATAGTTTCATTGGTCACGTAACTACATAATGTGCAGGCACAGGGTTATTATGGTCTGATAGCACACGATTCTGCAAACTTTCTGAGGTTGAGCAAGCCACTGCCTTTTCAATTTCTGGATGGGATGCTGCCTATGAACTTAATACTTGAGAGCTCTGTGTACACTTCCTTGAGCTCTGTGGAAGAAAGGTAGGATATAAATGTAATAAATACGTATATGTTGAGCAAACTAGCCTTCTTCTCCCGGTGGAGAACGGGCACAGCGGCTCACCACCTGTGGTTCTCTAGTTGATGCTGCACTACATTACTGATGATTGGCCATGCTGTCTGGAACTTACGGGACCTATAACCCTACAGGTGCCACAGCTGTGCTTCAGGTTTTTAATCCACAGCTAAAGCAAAGTCTTAAGTACCATTTGCTGCATCTGGTTCCATTCAGTGTCATTATCATTGTCTCTTCCAGCTACCCACCTGCAGTTTTAATTTAGATTGTATGCTCCTTGGATCAGGGACTTGTCGCTCCACTCTTTTACTGCTCCTTAAATTATGTATAGATGACTTACAAATCTATACAAATAATAATGGGTGTGATGTGTGTAATATTTGCACATCTGCTTGCTACCCTGTATCATCTTAAGTACAGATGTGCTTCTGCTTCCTCTCCCTAATACAAGCCCTTATTATCCCAGGTAAACTTCTAAAGTTTCTTAATTTTCACCCTTCCAGTTGGTTCTGCATGCTCATGGGTTAGTCTCTCGTCATAGTATCCCCGCTCCCTGTTCTGAGTACTTCCACATCTGGGTCCCTGTTGGCTTCTTAGGGCTTGGGCAGTGCTGTTCCTTTCTCTAAATCTTCCTTGGTTTTTGTAAGTAGCTTGTAACCTTTTAGCTGAGAGGTAAGATTTTCATACTTGTAACCGTAGGCACCTTTCTGAATGAGTTCCTTAACCCATAGGTCTCTTCCCTAATCTTGCCGTCAAACCCATCAGATCCAATTTTCCTATTGCCAAACAATCCTTCTGGTTCAGAATGTGCCAAGCTTTCACGTAATCAGTGCTTATATTATCTTTTGCAGTTCCCTGGCTATTGGAACCAGAACTGGGTACAGGCTTTTTTCCTTGAGTTCTGTGGAGCAGCTGGATCAGGTCCATGAAAGCAGTAAGTCCATTCTGTTTTGATACAACAAAATATTGGCTGATGACAGGCATTATCCTGCATTACAGCACTTTAATCTGCCTCAATGGAGCAATTCCATTTTATCATTCCTGCTAGAAAACAGATGGCATATCTTGGCTGCGGCCTTGCTTGTGTTCAAACTGCACTAGATGCAGCTGCGTTAAAGGGACAGTTGCCCACAAAGACAGCATAAAACAGTGGTGGAGATTCTTGTTTTGGACACCAGTATGAATCTAAAGCAGTCTTGAGCCTATTTGCATTAGTAGTTCAGTCCCAATCATTCTGCTGTGAGTTGGAGCAAATTAAATGCACAGCTGTGCAATCTTCACTGACTTGTGGGGATCGAGCCAACGTTTTAAAATATCCAGAGCTGTATCTCCAGAGTAAAAAGGCGTGATCACTACTGGGAAAACGCAGTTGTGCGGTGCAGTAAAGAGTCTGAGAATTTAGGGGGGGGGAGGAGCTTCAATGTGAAACAATGACCTTTCTATTCCTAAAGGTAGCCCAGCTGGCCCGCAGTAACTTATGTGAAGTCCAGATAGCTCAGTTGGTTAGACCATGGTGCTGATAATGCCAAGGTTGCGAGTTTGCTCCCCATATGGGACAGCTGCATATTCTTGCTATTGCAGGGGGTTAGACTAGATGATCCTCAGGGCCCCTTCCAACTCTACAATTCTCTGATTCTATGTTACATGCAGATCCAGAATGTGATCTTCGTGGGTCTCTTGAAATGCTTCCCTAGCTCTTCCATAAGTGATGCTGTTGAGCTGCTTTTTAAAAAAAAATGATCAGTGTGATTTGAACTAATATTTCAGTGACCCAACCAAAAGTGCAGGGATCAATCACAGGGATATCCCGCATGGAATCTCCCCCGCTGCCACCCTGCAAATAGATTGCCATGCTCAGGGTATTCAGGGTTGACCTGCCCCTTCGCCCCGTTTGGTTCATCATAGGTGACAGCAGAGAACTGGCTACAAAACATGCCACTGAAGCTCAAGACCAGCCTTTTGTCAAGCATCCTCTCCTTGAAAGCCTTCAAATAAGAGACTCTTGTTGTCACCTCAACTCTGCCTCCACCAACCCAATGTTGAGTGATATAGATGGGACAGTTTCCTTCTTTTTAACCCAAGCCTATCATTCTGTAGTTCAAACCCGTTGCCTTTTCTGCTGTCCTTTGGTGTATGGCTGGTTCCCCTCTTGCTGATGGTAGGCATGATCAAGTGGCTTTATCACTTTAATATCAATGGAAATTATATAAGTGCTGAAATGAATGACTTAAAAATGTTTACCCTTGGCTGGATCAGGTGTTTTCCTCCATATATTTCAAAATTGCCCACACATTTTTGCTTAATCTTGCTGCCCCTGCCCCCCGCAACCTTCAAGCCTCCTTTGCTCACAGTTCAGTATTTCCATGAGGTCATCGTAGAGAGGAGTAAAGCTGTGTTTTCAGGCACGTGGAATATTATGTTCCCATTAACAGCCTAAAGTGGCCTTTGCTTTGTATGCCACAGAACCACATTCTTTTTGAAGAGCTCGTAGTCTCGGGCATGGTTCGGGCTGCAAACGCGGCAGGGAAATGATTTTATAAAGCATACTTAGAAGTGCTTAAACAAGATTAGAAATTCGAAAAACAAAGGGGCAAAGATCAGCTTTCCATTTAAATGAAATACACATCCTGCGCTGTGGTTGCTGTCATTAGCGTTTCACTTTAAATAACTCTTTTTAAAAAGGCTTCCATTTGGCTGCATGCTCTTATGCAACTTAGCAACACAAAGATATACATTTGTCAGCCAAGGTCTGCCCAGTTATTGCAGGTCAGTTTAAAACTATGCTGAACTGTGTCCTTGGGTAGCACACTGTGACCAGATTGTGACAATGTACTTCAGGGCAACCTGACCTGCCAGTTTTTTTGTGGTTTTTTTGAGCCACAAGTAAATCATTCAGCTGCACCTTCCACAACACTGCTGAAATCCCATCTCTCCTGTCCTTTCCTGCAGTCACAAATACGGTTGATGATAATTTTTCTCTTCAGCTGTTTTTTTTTAACTTTGCATATAGGAAGATCCATATTTCTACCACTTTCAGTTATAACCTGACCCTATGCATACGTAAAGGTAAAGGTACCCCTGACCATTAGGTCCAGTCGCGGACAACTCTGGGGTTGCGGCGCTCATTTCGCTCTATAGGCCGAGGGAGCTGCCGTTTGTCCGCAGACAGCTTCCGGGTCATGTGGCCAGCATGACTAAGCTGCTTCTGGCGAATCAGAGCAGCACACGGAGACACCGTTTACCTTCCCACCGGAACGGTACCTATTTATCTACTTGCACTTTGACGTGCTTTCGAACTGCTAGGTGGGCAGGAGATGGGACTGAACAACGGGAGCTCACTCCATCGCGGGGATTCGAACCACTGACCTTCTGATCGGCAAGCCCTAGGCTCTGTGGTTTAGACCACAGCGCCACCCACACCCTTATGCGTACTTACGTGGATGTAAATCTCACTGTGTTCAGTGGATCCTACTCTCAATTACATTATTTAGATAATTAAGTAGGTATAGATTGCATGCATGTATTGTATGTCTCCATAATGGCTGCCATTGGATGCCAGAGTAAACCATGGTTTAATGTTTTGAGAAAAAGCCTGTGTGACTCTTGGGCTCATGTACAAACACCCTCCCCTTCTCTGGTGTGACTGTAAAGAGGAGATGGGAAACTTCCAATTTAGATTTACTTCAATTAAATGTGTTGTCTGTGATTAGACTGGGTAAACTTAATTACTGCTAGCAGAATCAAGCCAGCTTCATGAACTATGGTTTGAAGTTGACTTGTTTCCATTAACAATAGTTAAGGTTAATCTGTTCATGTGTAGGTTTGGACCACGTAGCAAGCTGCAGTTAATCTAAAACGGAAGCGAAAGGGTTGTGGCCTCGTTGGAGAAGGAGAAGGAAGCGCATGCACCTGAGGCTCACTGCACTTCATTTTTGTAATGCTAAACCATGGTTTAGCACTATGTCCAAAGCAGCCTATTGTTATTCCAGTGGAAGTGTAGGCAGGGAGATCTACAGAAATATCTAAATTTCCTTTTAAGGCCATCCAGGCCTTAATACAATACAAAAAAATAAAGTAAACAGAATATTGTAAAAGGACAACATAAATTTCACACAAATAGAGCAGCAGCAGCAGCAATAAAAATCCAATTCAAAGTACCTCCGCCTTCCCCCAAAGCCTGAGCAAGGAGGCTACAAGTTGTGTGAAGATGTCCTTTCTTTTATCTGTCCTGAATCTTCCATCATTCAGCTTCATTGGATTACCCCAAGTTCTATTATTATAAGGGATGGTGAAACCCCTCTATCTACTTCCTCCTTTTTGTCTAGTCTATCTCTGTATGGTGGGAAACTCCTGCTGCAAATACCACAGACAACCCAAGTAGATTACATTAGGGTCCGTGGCTGGGATCCCATTGTTTAAAACCGGAGATCTTTTTGCATTCTGAAATTCTTTTATGGTGTCCCGCAACATTTCTGTTGCATTAGCTGGCAAGCAGACATTTGAACTCACACAGTCTAAGATTGTAAAAAAAAACAAAAAACCCTGCTTGTTTGGCTCATGCGACTAAACAGCTGTTAGCAAAGATAGCTTGGGTGCAGGTTGACTTTGGGACTGGGGCCAGGAAGAGAACTTTATAATCTAATACTGTGTCCACTGGCCTAGAAACTTTCCCCTTTTCAGCCTTCCTTCAGGAAGGACGGGTCATCCCTTCCAACTGTGGCTGTCAAACAGGGAAGGGATGAGATTATGTACATCTTGTCCCTTCCGTCTGGAAACCCATTTTGTTTCCTCCCACTCGACAGAGCCTTGTATCTCCAGGGAGGTTGTCTTATTTTGTCAGCTTGGGCAATTCACATTTCCCCTTTTTGTTGGGGTGCATGTCCCCTAAGCTAGGGGGGAGGAAAAAAAGTATTATTAGAGCTTATTATACCACACACCCCTCTCATAGTAGGAGAACTGGCTTCTCAAGTTAGCATCATACAGATACTGTAAAAGAAGCTGATTGTAAATTCCTTCTGGAGATGAGCCATTTGCCTCTGACTTCCCTATCCCTGAATGTGACCTATGCAAAGTTCCGACAGCGGAGGCTAATCTTTGGAAAACAGTTGATGACTCAGCATTTTGCCCTTTTGCATATATGATTCTCCTCCTCTTAGCAAGAGCTTTTCCATCTCTTTTCATTTCACCCCACAGATGAAATCCCGGATGTTTACATCGTAGAGCGCCTCTTCTCCAGCAGCCTGGTGGTGGTGGTGAGTCGCACAAAGCCTCGGCAGATGAATGTCTACCATTTCAAGAAAGGGACCGAAATCTGTAACTACAGTTACTCTAGCAATATCCTCTCTGTCCGGCTCAATCGGCAGGTAAGAGATTAGGGACTTTGCTCACTCTCAAGTCATAAAGATGTGTGATTTGAATTTTCTTGCTCGTACTGTTTGTGTCTTAGTCTTGCTACATCCCTTTCAGAAGAACTATTCCTCTTGGATTGCAAGTAGTTATCCATCTCCCCCCCCCCCCCAATAAAGTACTCCTTTTAACTCCGGGTCGGGGAACATTGCCGGACTCCAAGCCTCACCATCCCTTGCCATTTGCAGTCTACCCATCTTCTTTACATTGCAGCATCATTGCATGATTTAGGAAGCAGGAACTGCCTTAGCCCAGCCTGGCTCTGGTTCTTACTTTATAAAACCTTCATAAGATCAAAGTTTGTTTCTCTGTGCGTGTGCTGTTATTTTTCTTGATTGGACTCCTTAGTGGAAAACCTTAGTTTTGAAAATGGAAGAATCGTTTTCAATGGAGCTGCTGGGTTCCAGCACAGTTATTAGTTGCACATGTTGGCAAAGCTATATTTTGGTTTCCAAGTGGTGAGAGGTTTTGACTGGTGGGAAGAACTAACCACCCCCCACCCCTGAAATGTGAATATAGCAGATTCCTTTGGAGCAGAGGTTCTGCTACTAATCCTTGTTGGGTTGCATCTTGGCCACTGGTTGTCAGCAGTGTAGCTCCTGGCTTTTGACAAAGTGTCTCAGGATTCATGAGTGAGGGATTGAGGCTTCTCTATTGCCCTGGCTAGAAGTGCAGAGTGATTCAGCTTACACCTGTATGTGCTGACATTGCATTCAGCGGTGGTTGTGCTGTAGAACATCAAGGAACTGTCTTGCTGTAAGGGACTGAAGGCTTACTTAAAACCAGTGTTTCAAACAGTGGCTAACCAGAAGCCTCTAGGAAGTTCGCAAGCAGGGCATAAAGATGGTGGTCTTTCACTGTTTGTCCTGAACATCTGGTAACCTCAGGTATACTTTGAACATGGAGGTTCCATTTATCAATCATGCTATTGATGGATCCAGCTTCAATGAGCTTTATCCTTTCTAAATCTAGCTTGTAGCCATCACCAAATTGGTTAATAATATGTTACATGTACTTCCTTCTGTCTGAATCTCCTGCCAAAGATGCTCACTCTGTGACTGTAAGAGGAAAATGTCTCTATTCACTCCCTCCATGCTACATTGAATTTTATGAATATTATGCCTTGCTCTCTCGGTTGTCTTCTCACCCACCCTGTCGGCCCTAAATTGAAAAGCCTCGAATTTATTAGCATTTCCTAACGGGAAAGGTACTCCACTACGTTGATTCCTATTGTCCAAAACAAACATCCTTACTTAAACATGCATATGTATGTGCAGGTCACAGTTCTGAAGTAATGGCTGGTTTCTTGTGAATTTGAATCAGAGCCTTACTTGAACCTGTTAATTAGCTTGCAGGTGTAAGAGCACCAGGGATCAGGGCCTCCTTCCACATCAGTGGTGTTGTGTCACCAGTAAAATAGATCCTGGGCTGGGTGTCAACACAGGAGATTTGTTTTGAACTCTTTGTGCTGTTCACAGCCCTCAGTGGTCACTGCACACTCTGTGCTATGTACACTTGTGTGTACATATTTGCTCAGCCCCCGCCCCCTTTAAAGAAAGGTACACTGCAATTGCAACAGGTGTGTGAAGGGTTCGTGGCAGAGACAAAAAGAAAGGTTAAAGTGCTCATCCTGAAGAGGAAATGAATGTAAGATAAAGATTTGTTTTTAGGAGTTAACAGCAGGCTTTAAAAGACAAAACAGGTAGTTGAGGACTTTGCTTTTATAGGCAGTTGCGAAAGCTATGTAATTATAATTCTAAGTTAGAAAATTCAAAGCTGGCAGCTATCATTAAAGATGTCACGTTGGACTGCAGAAGAGGAAACTTTCCAAAAATGAAGGAGTTGGTGCAGAGGAAGCTGAAAGGGAAAGTCAAGAGTCAAATTTCTTCAAAACACTTAGGAGTGGTTTAAAAACTCAATGCTAGAAGCTCGGCTACCATGTATGCCACAGTTCATGAAAGTCGCCACCAGGTTTTCAGCTTCCATGGTCAGTAACAGTATGCACCTCTAAATAGCAGTTGTGCTCAGCTTCCGTTTGCGAGCTTTCCATGAGTATTTGGTTGGTCACTGTGAGAACAGAGTGCTGGACCAGATGGGCTTGATCCTACAGGGCTTATCTTATGATTGCCAGGGAATATCTTCAACTATAGGCATGATGCAAACTCTTCGGTTTTCCTAGCATTAAGTATGAGGTGCATGGAAATGCCAGGGATTTTCTGTCTGGAAGGCATTACCGAAATGACTCAGTGTGACCACTTGGCAATGCTATGCTTGGGATTCTGTAGCTAGAAAGGGCATAGCAGATTCTATATTCTCAAAAATCAGAGAAGCCTTGGCTTCAAGTAGCAAAGGCTATTCCTCAAGTTAAAAAAAGAAAGAAATCAAGGTAAGTTTTTAATTCTAAAATCCTGGTTTCAAATAAATGATCAACACCTGTGATGAAGTTCTTATTAGTTTCTGGGGCCTCGGAGCTTCTGGTCATACACTGGCATTATTTTGGGTGCTCAATTTCCCCGTTTTTAAAATACCTGCGACATAAATAACCCCTTCAGAGCACAGGCACAGTTTTCATTGGCAAAAGCTGATTGGCCAACAACAGTCTAGACTCCATCTTTAATCTTGGTTGATGCCAGATACAGGAGCAACTTGTCATTGATGAGGTCTTGCTGCTGTTTCCAAGGTCCAAGGCTGTTTCCTCAAAGAAACAAGACCTTTTTGTTTGCACTCTGGGAATATGTTATCATTGTCTTCTTCCCTCCTGTTCAGTGGCTGTGCGCTGCAATCTTATGCGTGGCCCATCAGATGTAGCTGCCATTGAATCCCCAAGTAAGTGTAGGATTTCAAACTTAGTGTTGGTGGTTGCCGCTGCTGGAGGTGTGGATGGGAGCATAACTTTCCAGCCAGTCTGATAATGGTTAATGCTGTGCACATTATCTTGACACCTGGAAGAATATGACAGCTAAAGCACTTTGTGTCTCTACAAACGTAAGCCCAATTGACTTACTCTCCGGTAAGTGAGCCTAGGATTGCAGCCTGAACCATCATCATCATTGATAAATGCTAGGTGCTGTATCCGGGTTATCTCAAGCTCATGTTTTGAAATACGAAATGCTTGTTTGGAGGTTCTAGCAGGGGAGCGCAGCTATCGTATACCCTTGACCGAAGAACGGTACACTCCTTGGTCGTCCTCTTCCACCGAGCACGCAGCTTCGGGAGGGACGCACATGGAGCGGTGAGGGAGGAAGGGGACACCCGCCTAGCCAGCCAGATCAGCCGAATCAACCCTGGCGATCAGTGGGGTGACAGATGTCGCAGCCAGATCGCCCTCACATCCTCACAGATCTACCCACCCGGGAAGAATGGCAGATGAAGGTGATGGACTACATGGAACTGGCGGAAATGACTGGCAGAATCCGAGACCAGGGAGAAGAGTCGGTGGAAGAAGATTGGAAGAAATTTAAAGTTTATTTACAGAAACATTGTAAAATTAAGGAATGTTAGAAGGATGTTGGAATGAAGTAATGTGGTTTTAGCAGAAATGCTATAAAGGATTAAGAAAAAACAGATTGTTAAATGGTGAAAGGAGGGAAAGTAAAGTTACATTATATTAAGATAAAATATAGGACAAAAACTGGAAAAGATGGAAAGGACTTGCTGAAATAGCTAACTGAACTAGAATACAAAACAGGGAGGTGTGAGGAGGTCAAGGAAACAAGCAAATGAAAGATAAGTTATGGGAAGGTTCATTGTATTTTTTCCCCATTTTTTTATTTAACTGTTTTTATCTTTTTAGTCTTTTTTTCTTCTTCTTTTCCTTATTGTGATGTAATGTTCTGTTTTTGCTTAATATGCTGTTTTCTATTTTTTCTTTTTGTAACCTTTTAAATCTTAATAAATATTATTTTTTTAAAAAATGAAATACGAAATGCTATCTTTCAGCTTGTAGGACACACACTAAAATGTAACGTTTAAATAAGCTCTGGTACCCTTACTGAAGTTTCTTCTAATTCCACCTTTTTGAGTGGATGTGATTTTAGGGGAATGCTATTTATTCCAGGTAGAGGGCCATTCAGGCAGATGTAATAGAGAGTTGTACCTTAGCTTTTGGAATACGCTACTGTTTTATTGCTGGAAGATTTGAAAAAAAAGAGGTGAAATGTAATCTGTTTTAAGCTGACAGATCTCCCTCTGCCACTTCGCTTCTATATCTTCCTATAGTGCAAACAGTAGTTTATCTTAGTGATTAAGATAATTTTTCTTGACCAAACCAAGTTCAGCATAGATCATATCTCTTTCTGTTTGTTGTGAACACCTGATGCCTTTTCTCCCAAGTAGATAGTCCGAGCCGGTCTGTGAACCTTCCCAGTGCAACTGGCATGTGCTGATGGAATGTTTTGAGGCCTATCTTATTCCTAAGCAACAACTTGTGCTTTTTTTTTTGTATTTGCAGAGACTAATTGTTTGCTTGGAGGAATCTATTTATATCCATAACATTAAGGACATGAAGCTTCTGAAAACGATCTTGGACACCCCTCCAAACACAACAGGTAAGGGAATAAGCCTAGCTTTCTGTGGGGGGTGGACTTAGCACAGCTAGTCTGTAAACTCATTGCAGGTATCCCTATGTCACTGGTATGCTGTGTCAAAAAGCCCGATGGGGTGCATTCATTCAATGGAAAGGCTTTCTCTCACCTTTCTAACACCCTAAGGAAAGTCCTTTTGTAGCTCTCTGCTTCTTGGGGGTAGCTTTGTTGCTTCATTCAGCAGTAGTAACTGATAACCAGTTTAAATTGGGGCAAAAGGACCTGTGGTTTTCCTTGTGCTGTGATGGTTGCAGGGTTAATAAAAAAAACAAGTACACGTTTCTGGGTGATTGTGAAATTATCCTTTCAAGTGAATATGCCCTTCTTTAAGCAGCCAAATGGAGAGTGACACTTCCTTCACTCCTCAGGGATTATGTAGGAAGGTTGTAAGTGAATGCTCAGTTGGACTAAAAGAGCCCTGGGGCCAGACCGGTGCCTGCCAGGTGATTTAGACTGCAGCTGCCGTCGGTGCTGGAGTTGTAGTCCAGACCTGGGCTGTGATTTTGTTGCAGCATCTGAAGGAGATTCTTGTTTACAGCATCTGGAGTTGCTGTGCATCAGGCTGCTTGGTTGACCTTGGGAAAGGAATATCTTGACAGTGTTCAGTTCTCAGTTGGAGGCATTAGTTAGATTTGCACTGATCTAACAACATCAGGAGAGGGAGCTGGAATGGGTTTAAGCGAACAAAATGTTTAGTTTGGTTTAGTCCATGCAATGGTAAGAAGAGTGAAGTACCTCTGGCGGATGAGGTTAATGGGATTTTTCCTACTCATCTACTTGGGTGTCTTGTTATAGAGGCATGTGACTGTTAAAAAGATGTGGCAGGGGTTGTACATACACTGTGCCAAAAAATAAAATAAAATCCAACCCCCCCCCCAACACATTAATTTCCTGTGAAGAAAATCCAGCTACTGCAATTGGAATAAATGAAAAACAATTTGCATGGCATACCTTTGCTTACCTTGGAGTATCTTGTTCTACTTTCAATATGAAACTTTTCAAACAACTTGAATTGTGTGTTTAGCAAGGGAGGGCGCTATGGAGAAGACTTGGGAAAAGAGAGGACTGTTGGAGCAAGGGAAAAGTAACCAGTGGTAGAGAAGAAACTGCCTGATACCAGGTCAGGCTAATTGTCCCACAAGACCAGTATTGTCTACTGTCTTTCCCATCATCTGATAAGTGTGGAGCAAAGAGCTCTTGGGGACACTGAAACTAACTTTCAGCCAGTGGAAGTTTTGCTGTTGGTTCCTCTTAATGCCACCCATTCGTGTCTAGATGCTGAGATTTCATTATGCATTCCTCGCTCGGCGTGTTTCCCATACTCTTTCCTCACTCTCCTTGCACTGGGTAACAGAGCAAGAAACTTTGAGTACTTAATTTGGGGGACATAATGCTGGTTCACACACTTGCCTAGCTGTAGACTACGTGAGACTCCATACAGAAAAGCCCCCTCCCCTGAGGCAATGCGTAATTCCTGCACAGTGCATATACACCCATATGGTACATTCCTAATTTGTGCTGTTTCACTTCACCTTTTGTGAAGTCCAGTATGAATGGACACTGTGTGTAGTGCCACACTGCGTATTGTCTCACACCTATGGTGGTTGGGTGGGTGATGTGTACCTGCTTTTCCAGCACGTACACTGTATTTTCAGCTACCTGGCTGTGTGTGTGAGCCAGACCGCGGGAAGCTGAGTTTTGCAGGAGATCGCGGCAGTATAACTGACGGCTGTCAAAGTCACTGCTGGCCATTCTGTATTCTGTTGCGATGGTTGTAGTCATCAACAAGCTCCTGGGCCTTCCAAGGCTTTGCAGCCCTCAAATTGCTGCAAAGCCTTAGAGTTAGGAAACCTGCCCTTTTGCTTCATCGCTTTAAGCAGCAGCCTTAGCCGGAACATTTCTGGAGAGGACTGACCACAATTTGAGCTGCAGCTGACTTTGACAAAAAGCCGCAAGGGAGAGGAAATGGCAACAGCACCGTCTCCTCCCCTCGACCTGCCACCGTGCCTTTCTGTTCCTGCTCATCTGCTTTGCTTTTGGCAGGAAGCAAGTTTGGCACTTGATCCCAGCGAATGACAATCTGTTTGACACCTTCCATGTACACAGCACACTTAAAGAACAAAAGAAGACTCCCATGGGAACTAGAATAGAAGATGGGTTATGCCCCTGCATCAATTGCCAGCAAACTAGATTTTTTTTCATTACTGTATCTTTCCTCCCCCCCCCCCCCAAGGAATTCCATGGAGAATAGGTGGTTCTCTTCTGCCCCCCTCAGAATGAAGTTAGAATGTAAGAAGAGCCCTGCTAGATCAAACCAAAGCCAGAGACCCCTTTCCTAGGCTGTCCCTGCCAACTCTTATCCCATCAGCGTGCAGGTGAGGTTGGGGTTTTGTGTCCCAGAATAGATCCATTTACATTTGCTTCCTATGAACCCCATCTTCCATTTTAATGTCCATTTCCCCAGCTTGGAGGAATCCTTTTTGAGCTCTGTGCTGTTCTTTTTTTTTTTTTTTTGCTCCCCTAAATGTGTCATCAGCAAAGTTGATCAACTCACTGCTCACCCCTAAACTCCACATCATTTATGAACAAGTTATAAAGCACTGAAGTTGGTTAGGCTGAGGTATAGAGACGGGTCCAAGGTCACCCAGGGGAACATCATGGCTGAGAGGGGATTTGAAGTCCTACTGAAGAAACACGTGAGGAGGGAGTGTGCTTCCCGTTGGGCAGCATTGGTAGAGGAAGATCACGTTCTGGGTAACCCAGAATGAAGATGGTGTATTTTGGGGGCCCCTGCAAGGACAGCCAGACAGGGTCATTTTGTTGGGCATCTGAGACGAGCTAGATAAAGTAGTGCCTTCCCCAATGCTTCCAGCCTTGACTCAGTGGATTTCCCCACTATTTTAGGGTGGGATTCAGTTGCAAACTGGCAAATTCAGGTTGCATAATTAATTTTGATTTGGTGCTCTTGCACAGCAAGCCTGTGTCTCCAGACAGGTTGGACTTCTGGAGATGATGGGGAATTGTGGGATAACAGTTTCTTGATGGAGTGTCGTATAACTTCCCTGCAATCAAAGGGGAATGAATGTTCAGTGAATAACTGGTGTTGCTGAGAAACAGGTCCTTAGGAAGCAACCAGTGATGCAGTTCACATGTAGCCAATAAATGCCTGGTTGGTTCCTTGGGAAGTCACTCTTGGACTCCAGATTGACCTCATTCTGGCTCTTAACAGATGGCCTCTCATGGAGATTAAACCCATTGAAAGCTTTGGATGTGATTATATTTTTAAAATCCTCCACTACAGCTCCCAAAGGCATAAACATCCACTGGCCTGGGGCTTTGAAACAAGACAGCAGTTCATTTAAGGTTCAAAATTATTGAAAGAAGTTAATTATGCTTTGCCAAAGAGGCTCCAGCATGATCATGTTTGTTTTCATTGCTTTTTTTCTTTTACTGAAGTCTCTAAGTAAAATCTATAGGCCTTACTCCCAAATGCCTCTGTATTAGTTGCCGCTGAAAGGCTCTGCAGACAGGGAGACAACTCTATTCCTTTTATCACTGATAGCGTTGTGACATTAAACCCATGGGCTGGCATTGTTGTGGATTTTTTTAAGCTTTATATAGATATGGAAGAGTGGTGAATTTAATTCACATGGGTGGAAGAATTGAAAGAGCAAAAGTGTGGGCTCCCAGAGACGATATAATGGCTCCTTTGCTACACCCTAGTGTTCTGTTGCTGCACTAACCCAAGCCTTTTTTGCTTTAGGATCTCTTCCAAAGCTAGCCTTGTGTTAAATAATTTTAACAATAATTTAATAATAATAATTTTATTATTTATTATTTTACAAGCTGTAAACTGTAGGACAAACCTTGGTTCTAGTTTATGGTTTGTTTGGAGAAAGCTAAACCACAAACCTGGGTTTTGATTACACACTAAGCATAACCGCACTTTTGCTCAGCATAGCACAGCAGCAAAAGGATTGGGGCATAAATAGCAAAGTGGCTGCGGTTTCTCCAGAAGCCCACACGTTGGCTTGTTCATGCCAGTCCTTGGTTTGACTTTGTGTTTCTTGCAAACCAGACCTCTATATGAGTTTTAGAAACACAATGAGGAAATTTGTTTACAGGACCTCTAACCTGTTTTTTTGAGAGCCAGGCTGGAGGTTTTGAGATATGTGGAGGTTCACATTTGTTGTCTTTGCTCTAGAGCAAAAAAATGATAAATTCTAAGTTTGCCATCTCTTCCTGTGAGTAACTTTAATGGTGGTAAGGCTGAGAGTTTGATTCTGTTCTGCTTGTGCCCTGTTGACACACTAGCAAGCCAACTCTGCTCTTGCAAAGGCGACTCTTCCAGTGGGTCTGTTTTTGGAGTAAATTCCGGTCGCTTCCGGATGACCTGCTTAATGAGCATTCAGCCTGATTTGTTTGCAGAGAGATTAGCCAAAGTTGCGTCAAGCAAGTGTTACCCCAGTCTTATCAGTGCATTTTCTCATCCCTTTTTAGAAAAAGTCCAATATTTTGGGGAAGCGTGTTTAATTTTGCCAGAGCTCTAAATCAGCTTACATGGCGCAGCCTGAATCTACGGAGATGTGATTGAATTCCACCCCTAAATAGTGACCACCTGGAAGAATCTCCATGTCTTGTTGTTAGGACTTCTTTAGTTTCCTCTAACTGCACACCTTATAAGAGCACCCTCTGGCGGTGTAGCTACTTTTTCTTATTCTGTAAAAGGCTCCATATGACAAATAATTTGCTTTCAAGCCTGCCACTAATGCCCTTTTCCAGTTTGCTGCTCCTAGGCCAACTGGGTTTGGTCCTGAAGCCTGTATCTCCCAGACTTTGGGGGCAGATTTGCAATCAGAATCTTCTGCTGTTACATGTTTGGCTGCTCCCTCTAGGAGAGAACATTCTGTATTGTCCAAGTACATCCTTACCACTCATACATGGGGACAGGACCACTGTGACATTTATAAACATCGGCGAGGGTATGTTTGCCAATAGACCTGAAGCTCTGTTCCAGGAAGGTAAAGAATTGTGTTCTCTCTTTTTTTTAGTGGAGAAATTGTGCGGTGCTGGACTAAACAGATTCCTTTGGAAAGCCCCCAGAGTAGTTTTAAGACAGTGTCTTTAGTGAGGAAGGACCATGGTTCAGTGGTAGTATATCTGCTTTGCATGCAGGAAGTTCCGGGTTCAATCCTCAGCATCTCCAGATAGGACGGGAAAAGTTCCTCTCTGAAACCCCGGAAAGCTTCTACCAGTCCGTATAGACAATACTGTGTGACATGATACAAGGCAGTTTCCTATGTTCCTGTGTTCTATTAATCCCCCCGCTTTTGTCTACACAAAGTACAGCCCCTCCTCTGAGATCTCATGTACAGCAGGTCCTTTGTCTTAAACTGGGCTTGTTTTGCCTGGTGCAAAATCCCGCCACCCCCCATTAGTGGCTAGTGTGCAGAGATGACACCAAAATAGGCAGAGGGAGGCAACTGACCATGACCCTCAAACTTTCAAGTTAATTTAGGTTAGGGATGCACAAATACAGAATTCATGTTTGGGGTTTGCTGGCCTTTCAAGGGCTCATGGCCCAGCCAGGTGGAGGAGATGGGCAGGGTGGGGGGGCATTCTTTCTTTAGCATTTGGGGTGCAAGCCCATGGCCTCTTTAGGGCGGCACATGCAGTTGATGCTCCCTCTCTAGAACAGAACATCTGGCTTAGCCCTGGTTCGGGAGAAGGATGCTCATATGAACTAGTCTCTCTTGTACTTATTCTGCACCTTTGAAATATTTTGCAAGGAAAGTCTGGAGGATTTTGTTTCTGCCGCTTGTGGAAACTAGTTCTTAGGACATCCTAGGAATAATAAAGAAGGCAGCCATTCATCTTTCTTTTTTGCAGCCTTGCACTTAGTCCCTTCATGAAGTCAACTCTGTAGACCTGAGCTCTTTCCCAGGCCCTTCACAGCTTGTTTTCCTGCTCGGCTGTCCCGGACAAAACCTCTAGCTGGGCCTGCTGACTCACAGCGCTGCTGACTGAGTTTGTTTAGCTTCGGAATTCTCTCGATCCTCAGTCATCTCCAAAGGGCTTCAGGAAATAGGCTCTGCTGAATGTTCTTTCTACAGACCACAAGCCCAGAGACTTCCTTTTCAAGATTTTCCCTGGCAGTTGTCTGGCTTGCATGCTACAAAAGCCAGTTTCTTTGTGATGTGGCGCATCCAGCTCCCTTAAAATGCATGCCTTGCAAATGTGGCACTTATCTCAGATGTTCCTTGTTTGGTGTTGGAATTGTTCTTCGTGATCTTAGTCATATATACCGACAGATGCATTCACCTTAAGCTGCTGCAGTGCTGCAGTAGTATAGCTGGAGAGGGATAGCCTACCTAGTGTTATCTACTCCTTGGAAACCTCTAGATTGGATTCCTGCAGTGTGTTGTACGTGGGGTTGCCCTTGAAAACCTGTTTGGAAAATGCAGAATTCTCACACTACTCTGTTGCATATAGCACCAATTTTGGCACAGCTGCACTGGCTACCAGTTAGTTTCTGGGATACAGTCATACCTCATGTTATGTTTGCTTCATGTTACGTTTTTTCAGGTTGCTTCCCGCGGCGACCTGGAAGTACCGGAAAGGGTTACCTCCGGGTTTCGCTTCTTGCATGTGCGCAGTAGCGCTAAATCGCGCTTCGCGCAGTAGCACCAAATCACGTGGCACACCTGCGCAGATATGGCACTTCAGGTTGCGGGCTTTTCATGTTGCGAACGGGCCTCCAGAATGGATCCCGTTCGCAACCAGAGGTACCACTGTAAATTTAAAGTGCTGGTTTGGAACCTAGGAAGCCTAACGTGGCTCAGGACCCCAATACCTGTCTCTTTCTACGTGAACTAACCCAGACCCGGCATTTGTCTTCGGAGGCTCTTCTCCATGTGCCCCTGCAAGGGAGGAGTAGAGGGTGGAGGTTTGAGACCAGGCCTTTTGCATGGTGGCTCCCCACTTGCAAAACACTGTCCCCCAGGAGACACACCTGGCATTGTCTGCTTTTAAGTGCCAGACAGAAGCTTTTTTGGAGAGTAATTAGGTGAGTTTTTAGCTTTTTTTGTGTGCTCCCCATTTTAGTGTGGGGGGGGGGAGTGTATTTGTATTTTTGCATCCATATTTATGGACAAGTGTTTCAGGTTCTTCTTTTACAGTGGTACCTTGGGTTACATACGCTTCAGGTTACATACGCTTCAGGTTACAGACTCCGCTAACCCAGAAATAGTACTTCGGGTTAAGAACTTTACTTCAGGATAAGAACAGAAATCGTGCTCCGGTTGTGTGGCGGCAGCAGGAGGCCCCAATAGCTAAAGTGCTGCTTCAGGTTAAGAACAGTTTCAGGTTAAGAACAGACCTCCGGAACGAATTAAGTACTTAACCTGAGGTACCACTGTACTCTTGTTCCTCTGTTTGGTTTTAATGTTTCTCATTTCTCTTCTTTCATTAAATGCTGAGATAACTTGGTGTAAAACGCTGCAGGTAAACATAGGGTGAAATTCAGCGTTGTGTTCTTCCAGTTGTTTAATCTGCACAAGTATTCTAGCTTACCAGACATAACGAGAATGCCTCTCCTTCTCTGTGCGCTGTCCTGGGGCTTCGTCCGAGCCAGTTTCAGCGGGAAGAGATGGGGGAGGGGGGTAGAGAAAGCTCCATTATACAAGTGGAAGTCCTTGTCCAGGCCTCCCTCTGACAGGGCTGGTTAGATGAATCCCACCCATAATAAATCATAAATATATGTCTGATGCAACTGTTAGGCTTTTGCTTGCTATTTCTCTGTCTGGGGGAAACATGGCAACTCTGAGTCATTCTAAACGTCAGGTAACAGCTCGGCTGCTCAACGATGCCTCCATTCCCCACTCTGACGAAACTCAAAACCAGGGCGGGTTCACCTTTGGCCCTCCAGATGTTTTCGGACCACAGCTTCCATCATTCCTGATCATTGGCCATGCAGCCTGGGGCATGATGGGAGTTGGAGTCTGAAAGGTCCCGGGTTCCCAGTCCCTCTTCAAGATTTCCTCCGCCATTTCTTTTCTGCCTTGCGTTCTTTTTCTTTCTTTTTTTGCAGCAGAAGAGAATCAGGTGGCTGGTGGATGACAAGGGCCGGATAAATATCGCTGTTAGGAGATGCTGCCAGAGCTCTCGGTCATGATGTCAGACAATAGCTGTGCCGAGCAGAGGCTTTGCTGCTCTTGGGGTCTTGCCAAGGCAGCATAGCCTGGCACCAGTGTTTGTCTGAAAAACACACATGGTCCTATTTCCTGTCCAAGAGTTGTACACACCATCTCTTTGGGATGCCTACAGGCTTTTTAATAACTCTGAAAAGGCCATCAAAGGAGGTTCCTGGCGTTTCTTGTATGTACCTGCTTACAGATCGTCTCTTCTTGTTGCTGTGATATGTCAACAGTGGCTGCAGCAGGCTTAATAAGGGGCTTCTTGGACCCAGTGATTCTCAGTGTTTTCGTTACCACATAGAATCCTATTTTGGCATTGAGCTGTTTTGAATTAATAGATAATATTAGACTTCACATAAAATTCATTTTAAAAAAGGAGTATTGTTCTTTGAAATGAAGAGCTGGTGGTAAGCCTACTCATGTCTCCTGATCTTTCCTTTGTTATTCCGAAAGTTTTTAGAGCACTTCGAAATCTCTGTGATGGAACAAGCAGTACATAATGTCATTTGGGCCTTGTTCTCACTGAGGTGTTAAATTGCACGTGGCCTGTACCATTGACTGCAAGATGAACTGTTTAATAACAATAATAATGACAACAACCATTTTATTTATAGGCCACCCATCTGACTGGGTTGCCCCAGCCACTCTGGGAGGCTCTCAGCAAAATATTAAAAACACAAGAAAGCATCAACCTTTAGAAACTTCCCTGAACAGGGCTGCTTTCAGATGTCTTCTGAAAGTCAAATGGTTGTTTATCTGCTCTCTGTGGGGAGGAAAAGAGACTCCTAAGAATAGCCAGCCTGAAGCACTACTCCCAGACACCCTAGTTAGTTAGATCTGTCTGCTGGGAAATTATTTTCCGCAATAGATCTTTCTATCCTGTGACACACACACGTAATACAGTTTGAAGTGGGACATTCATTCCAGATGTGGGCTTATTCACTTGAATGAGAGCCTGGCCTTTTGTCACTTGCCCTTTCCGAATATCGTGACGTGGTGCCTGCCAAGGAGAGGAAGCGGGCTGTGCCACAAGAAAGAGGGCCAGTCTTCCAAGGGGTCGCTTTCCTGACTTCCAGCTTTACATGCAGAGTTCACTTGAGGACTCTGGGAAGCAGTGTCTGTGGGCTTTTTCTCTCATCATTGTAGAGGAAATGTTTTATGCTGCGTATGCGTCTTTCTGCCCTTCTCTGAACCCATGCTTTCCCAAAGTGGAATCCCTGGCACCGCCATGGTGTGTGTGTGTGTTTGTGTCTCTGGTTTGGGATCCCTTCCCATTCCTTACAGGCATTTAAGACTGCAACTCTGTGCTGTTGGCTTTCCTCTACCAGCATAAAGTGGTTTGGATGAAAGAAAATCAGGGTCACCAGTGCACATGCATGTGCCTGCAGAGGATGCATTTCCTGGTACCCTCAAAGTCACCCCCCTACTAAAAGAAGCATTCTATTGCAGACCGTTGAATAGGGGTGTGTGTATGATGGCCGCAACAGTTTATCAACCAATTTATGAAGGCACATTTGTCAGCCACTGAAGTATAATGTCTCCAGCTGGCCATTAGTGGTCAGTTTGTCTCCCCCTCTGGTTTTTCAGGGAGGGAAACCCCTGGGGGAACTTTTGAAAAGGGACTTGCATTGTGTCATCCCTAATCTGAACCCATTTTGGGCGGAAGAGAGCCAGTTTGTTTGTTTGCAACCTTTTCCAAAAATAAAAAATGACTAGGCAGATTAAAAAATGTAGTGAAGATGCAATGATGATAAGGAAAGACATTTTCTCTTCTTCTTTACAAGAAAATGGCAGCCCCTTGGAAAAGCTTGCTGGGGGATGGCCAGGGCTGTACAGTGGTACCTCGGGTTAAGAACTTAATTCGTTCTGGAGGTCCGTGCTTAACCTGAAACTGTTCTTAACCTGAAGCACTACTTTAGCTAATGGGGCCTCCTCCTGCTGCCGCCATGCTGCCGGCGCACGATTTCTGTTCTCATCCTGAAGCAAAGTTCTTAACCTGAGGTACTATTTCTGGGTTAGCGGAGTCTGTAACCTGAAGCGTCTGTAACTCGAGGTACCACTGTATAGAGAAGTGTCTGCCTGTCATCTCTAATGATGGGGGAGGTTTAGCATTGCTAGCCTCCATTCAGAAATCTGTGGAGGCAGGGGCAATAATGGCAAGGTTGTTCTCACTGTGTGTTAGTGGCAAGTTCTCCATGTCATTCCAGGTGCATGCAAGATGCTTAGAAGTGGCTGCCTTAGGGGTCAAAGGAGTCAAAGGAAAACCACTTGCGTCTTCCCTGCACAGCAACAAATGCTCTCCCTGTCCTCCACATCCAAAGGAACTCATTGTTTTCCCATTTTGCACACCACACCATGAAAATCGCCCTTGCCAACAGCTTTCTGAAGGATTCCGGGGCTATCTCTCTGGTGATCTCCAAAACAGAAAGGCTGCGCCGTTTTTAAGGGCATAATATGAAGCAAGGGGCTGGTTTGTGTAAAAAAAAAAAGGAGACGGGGAGCGATTGAGAATGGGGTGTTTTATTGACAAAATAGTCTTTTTGTATTGTGCATGGAGCTGTGCCCTCACTTGCCTGCAGGTGTCGCCAGAGTCAGAGAGATTTCCTGTTGCAGGTGAGGAGTCACCTCAGCCTGCATCTACAACAGGGGGCAGCAGACTTTTCCAGCAGGGGGCCAGTCCACTGTCCCTCAGACCTTGTGGGGGGCCAGACTATATTTTGAAAAAAAATATATGAACGAATTCCTATGCCCCACAAATAACCCAGAGATGCATTGTAAATAAAAGCACACATTTTACTCATCTAAAAACACGCTGATTCCCAGACCGTCTGCGGGCCAGATCCGGCCCTTGGGCCTTAGTTTGCCTACCCATGTTCTAGGCCATGGGTAGGCAAACTAAGGCCCGGGGGCCGGATCTGGCCCAATCGCCTTCTAAATCCGGCCCACGGACGGTCCGGTAATCAGCATGTTTTTACATGAGTAGAATGTGTGCTTTTATTTAAAATGCATCTCTGGGTTATTTGTGGGGCATAGGAATTTGTTCATTATTTTCTTCTTCAAAATATAATCCGCCCCCCCCCCACAAGGTCCGAGGGACAGTAGACAGGCCCCCTGCTGAAAAAGTTTGCTGACCCCTGATCTAGAAGTGCCAGCAATGGGACCAGTTGCATTTTTCCCAGCAGGAAGCTCTCTCCTTCTGCCGCTGTCCATAAAACACCCTGCCCATACCAGGAGCTCACCATCTCTGCCTGACAATGCAATTTGTTTCCCTCCACCTCTAGGTTTGTGTGCACTTTCTATCAACCATTCCAATTCCTACTTGGCATACCCCGGCAGCACGACCGTTGGCGAGATTGTGCTGTACGACGGAAATAATTTGGTAGGTAGAAAGGAATCTCTCAATCTGAGCTCTGGGGGCCCATGTTCTCTGGAACTGTTTCACTTCAACAGGCCCTAAATATTCTTTTAAATCAGGCTCCTGGAGCATGGGAAACCTACCTTATACCAAGTCAGACCAAGGGTTTGTGTAGCTCAGGCTTGTCTGCAATAGCTGGCAGTGTCTTCCCTTTTTTGCCATTTTTTTTCCTTTTCAGTTTAAATTAAATCAAATTAATTCAGATTTAAAAGTTGACTTCCTGTCCCACCCATATTTGCCGCTCAATGTTACAAGTATTTCCAAATTGCATTTTAAAAAACCGTATGTTTTTATTTTGAAATTCATTTGTAATTTTCACTTTTACAAATTTTTCAAATTCACCAAAAAAACTGCATTAATCATTGACTTCCCCTCCCCCTTTTCATGGTTTGTTCTAGTTATCCTCTGCTGCTGCGTATTCTAGTTACTCCGTATTATTTCTTTCCCATTTTATCTCAGCTTAATTTATACTGCTAGATTTACTCTAATCCTGTGATTCCTCTAATTACAAATATTCTACAAACAATTTCCAGTCTTCCTTAAATTCTCTTTCTTCCTGATCTCTTATTCTGTTAGTTAGGCTTGCCGTTTCTACATATTCCATCAATTTTGTATGCCATTCCTCCTTCGTTGGTATCCTTCCCTCCCTCCATTTTAAAAAATCTAACATATTGTAGCATTTACCCCCTCATCTTCATTTCCCCTTGGCTGCTCTTTTTGACTTCCTGCTAGACCTTTACTTAACTACAGCATACTCCCAAATACCAATAAGAGTTACTCTTCACTTTGTCAGCCCTCATAAATCTTTAGTTATCAATAATTGCCCACTGTTTTTCATGTACAAACGTCTGACTGGTTCCAAGGCAGTGCCTTCATAGCATTTCAGATGGGGCCCTCAGCCAGCTTTTCTTGGTGATTCTGGTGGTCGAACAATGCCCGTGGTTGAACCTGCAACCTTCTGCACGCAGAGTAGATGTTCTGGTACTGAGCTCATCAGAGCTGCATGTATGTGCATAATTGAAGTAAAAATAAAACAAGGGAGACTGACGTCTCGGTGGGCGCTGCCAGACTGATGCTATTCTCAGGTGGGGTTGAGTCTCATCCCAGCAAATCCAGGTCACACAGCTGTAGTCGACTGGGAGTTCTTGCGCAACGAACCCACTTCCGCCAAAGTCTGGACTTTTTGCAGTAAGGAAAGTGATGGGGAGATAGGTGTGACGCTTGCTTTGATGCAACGCCATCTGACCTCCATGCAAACACATACGGATGAAAGCTCAACAAGCAGCTTGTCAGGGAGCACCCTGATTCTCTGTGCCTTGACTATTCAAGTGCTATCATTGGGGGCATTCTGCGCCCTTAGCCGATGAAGCCTTAATTTTGCCATAGCTAAGGAAGGAGCATGGAGCTGATGCTCATTGGGTAACCTTCCGTCAATCACCAGCTCTTAGGCTAGCCTACCTCACAGGGCTGTTGTAGGGATGAATTGAGGAGGGGGAGAACCAAATATGCAACATTGAGCTCCTTGGGAGGGAAAATGGGGATATAAATGCAATAAATTATGCAATTAACGCAATTAATAAAATACTTTTGCTTACAACACTACTAATCTGTCTACACATTTTTGAAGAAAAACTGGAAATCCTACCCTTCTCCCAGGCCTTTTTTTTTTTTTGGCTCACACTTAAACTGTTTACCTTCCCATTAACAGAGGGACGTCTGTTCAATTTCTGCCCACGATGGGCCCCTCGCTGCCCTGGCCTTCAACTCCACAGGGTCAAAACTAGCAAGTGCTTCTGAAAAGGTAAGTGAGCAAAATTTCTACCACTGGAGAGAATTACAATTGGCACTTGTGTTTTCCCTGAGGAGCAAAAACGAGTGTTGTGTTTACCATTTGAATCCTTTGGCAAATTAGTTACTCACCCTAGGCAAAAGTTTCTGGTATTTCACTTAGGGTTTTTTCCCCTCTTCCATTTTAAGCTTATGCCCGCTTGCCTTGTCGTCAGCACAGAGAAATGTATTCAAAAGTTTGCATGTTTTATAAGTCCGTTTTGAGGAGGAGCCATTGGCGTTAAAATACTAATTTAAAGAGAAAGCTGGCAAAGGAGTAACCATCTTGCATGTGGCTACATGTACCAGAAGAACTGGCATTCAGTACTGTTCCTAGAAACTGCTGCAGACTAAGCCTGCTTGCTTTCAAGTAAGTTCCACTGAAATCAGTGGGGCTTGCTTCTAGGTCATAATTGAGGTGTAAGCCCCCAAATTTAAGCAAACTTGTAAATTAATCCAAAGTATGTTTACTCGGATGTAAATCCTGCTGAGGTCAGTGGTGCTTGCTGCCAAGTCATTTGTGCTTAGAACTTCAGCCTTAGTTGCAAGTTCCAATGAAAGCAGTGGCTTCTATGTAGTCTTTCTTAGGATCACAGTACCTATCCTAATACTGTTTGTGAGTGCTAGGTAAAGGTAAAGGGATCCCTGACCATTAGGTCCAGTCGTGACCGACTCTGGGGTTGCACCGCTCATCTTGCTTTATTGGCAGAGGGAGCCGGCGTACAGCTTCCGGGTCATGTGGCCAGCATGACTAAGCCACTTCTGGCGAACCAGAGCAGCGCACGGAAATGCCGTTTACCTTCCCGCAAACTATTTATCTCCTTGCACTTTGATGCGCTTTCGAACTGCTAGGTTGGCAGGAGCAGGGACCGAGCAACGGGAGCTCACCCCGTCGCGGGGATTCAAACCTTCTTATCGGCAAGTCCTAGGCTCTGTGGTTTAACCCACAGCGCCACCCGTGTCCCTCGTTTGTGAGTGCTAGGAAATAATTTATTCTCGTGTGTGTGTGTGTGTGTGTGTGTGTGTGTACATGTACATGTACTGAATGTCCATGCCGGAATAATTGTAGCATCTCCTCTGTGAAGGCAGCTGGTCCTTGCAACCTGATGGCTATGTGACTTTCATGCCTTACCTGTTTTCCTTCAGGGGACCGTCATTCGGGTGTTTTCCATCCCTGAGGGGCAAAAGGTCTATGAATTCAGAAGAGGAATGAAGAGGTCAGTGCTACACTCATCAGTGGCTCTTTTTCTTCTTCTTTTTTGGCCCCATATGAAATGCACGCCCTGCTACCTAGGAGGGTCCTTACCTAGGAAATGTTTCGGGAACACTCTCCAAAACACATGGGAGGGCCTGTTGCCTTTCCTTGCTTTCACAGCCATTGAACGCAACACATTTGAGAAACAGTATGATTGGTGTGGGAGTTTCTGGTATCACACCTGGCTGGTCCAGTACCATTGAGGTTTTCACTGGTACACAGCGAGTGCCTTCATTGGGCGTAACTGTGGGAAAATCACTGCTTAGGGACGCAAGTACAGGAGAGGTATAAAATAGGGTGAAGTACTTTAGGGATCTTTTTTCCCCACTGTGCTTTTTAAAATACCGGTCCATTCTTGCAAGGTGTGCCAATGGTCAGAGGCTATTTGAAAACCTAGTACGGGAGCCAGAATAATATGCAGTATTATCCCCATGTAACAGGTTTGCAGGGGCTGAGGCATTGTGGCTTACAGTAAATGAATTAATGGCTGAGCTGAGATTTTGAAATGAGGGCTACAGCCCATTCTCTTTTCCAGTGCTACACCACATTCACTCATTGTTGGATCCCTAGCTGTAGGACACACAGACCAGCAGCAGGATATGATTTGATCATATCACGTTCATTTCCACCACTACCTCCACCCTGCAGATCTCTCAGATCTGCTTATTTTGGCCACGGCCTAGCACGGCCTGACCTCCTTTTTGTTTTTGTGTCAGCTGCAGCAATCCTCTTTCCTTCCCTTGGGCTTAGGTACGTGAACATCAGCTCCCTGGTGTTCAGTATGGACTCGCAATTCTTGTGTGCGTCAAGCAACACCGAGACCGTTCACATCTTTAAGCTGGAACATCTCACAGACAGGTGGGTATCCAAACAGAGCCGCGTAGGCTGTGGGGAGTCTTAGCTGCAGTGAGATTCAGCCCTGGCCCAGCAAAGCTATGGGAAGAATGGGAAAACGTGGCTCATGCATATCCAAGCCATCACTGTCAGTTGGCCCCAGGGTATGCGATTTCAGCACATACTTGTCATTTCCATCAAGTTACTGGTTGTTGTCTTTCTTTTTTTAAATGGGCCCATGTTGTTTAGACAAAGTTGTGATGCCACACAGTGGGGTGAACCTGTGGCTGAGAATTGGGATTGTTAGGACAGGAGACAGGAATCAAGAGCATGCCTTGATTGTTGTGGCAGCACTCCAGGAGCCAGGAAGAACAGAACTGAAGGAGCCTGGGACCAGAATTGAGGGTGAAGGTGGATCTGGGGTGTGCTAGACCCAGGAAACTGCTCCAGCATCCAGCCCAAGGTCCAGCTTCCAGGCCACAATATTTATTCCAGACATTTGTTGGAGAGAGGCAGTGTCGTTGCAACTCTGCGACCAGCACAAGTCTGCAAAGGGCTTGCGTCTGTTTCTGCCTTCAGTTGTTTCTGGGCCAAGTGTCTGTTTGCAAAACCAGTAACTTCAGTTCAAGAATTGCTGTTTGTAGCAGGGGCAGCTATCTTTGGCTGTATATGGACATTGTGCATCACCCAATGGTAGCCTGGGTGCAGTTTTGGTATCTGTGAAAAAGATAGCTGCCATCTTTGTCTCTGGATAACTTCAAGTCTGTTTTGAAGCAATGACTATTAGAGTAGCCATCCACAGCGCTGGTGTCCTCCACACATTTTGAACTACAGCTCCCATAATTCCTGACCATTGGCCATGCTGACTGAGGCTGATGGGAATGGAGTGCAAGGTCATCAGAGGGCGCTAGGTTGGGGGAGGCTAGGCCAAAGATTACTAGGGAGGAAAACTGGAATTGTCTTGGGTGGAACTGAGCCTCTTTAACATAATGCACATTATCCAGGATAAATGTTGAAAATAGATAACGTATGCAGAAGCCCTGAGAAATGATTGGCTGTCACTGATAACTGCTTCCCGTGGTAGATTTAAAGTTAGAACACAACCCTTTGCTTAGTACAGACTTGTTTTTAGCTATTCATTAGTGTTTGGGTAAGAAGGTACATTCATAATGGCTTTCTGTGAAATGGGGTTTTATTGTACAGGCTGTATCTTAACAGATCACTGCATTCACTTCCCAGCATAGGAGTGTTTTGCCCAGTTATCATTGGGACACACAGTGGCTTATAGCACTGTTGCCTAAATATACTCGTTCTTGTTGGAGCAGACAAGTTAGCTCAAGCAAGCACAGCTGTGCCGGCATTATAGATGACGAAACTTCACACACAGTTGGACAGCTGATACAATTTTAACTTGCATGTAGATTTATGGTTTGACTTTATTGGCAATTATATCGTGCCACGTTGCACTTTAATAAGTTGTAGATTCGTGTATGCCCCGAGGTTCTTATACTCTTAAAATGCTGACACTGAGGGAAACTCCCAAGGGGGAAAGAAGAATTAGCAAAGGATGAATAGGAGCCAGGGAAGTTGCATGTATGTAGCCTTGAGGGGTTTAGGACCACGCTGTTGCATTGATGCTGCCTGGTCTAGATACTAGACTAAGAATCTCAGTGCCTGCTGCTTTGTTTCTCTTAGCCGGCCGGAAGAACCCCCGTCCTGGAGCGGCTACATGGGCAAGATGTTCATGGCCGCCACCAACTACCTCCCTTCTCAAGTGTCAGGCATGATGAGCCAGGACCGGGCCTTTGCCACTGTGCGCTTGAACTTCTCTGGACAAAGGAACATCTGTGTGCTCTCCACGTACGTAAGCTGTGGCTATAGCAACCGAGCAGCAGCTCCTTCTGTGTATATATACATAGGCATCTCTCAGAGCAGCATATATATATGTGCGCGCACACACACACACACACACACCCTGAGTTGAGGCAAGCTGGAAGTTGGTTAGAAATGTCTTGACTGCGTGGCAAGATGCAACGTGTGGAAATGTTCTGTATCTTGCTTCTTCTGCACTGGACCACTGCCATCTGCATCTGCTCCAGGGAAGCTGCTGGGTGCACAATACAGGCAGTTCAGAATTTTAATCTGTTTTGTGCCCCAGGTCTGAAAGAGAGTAGATTGCAGTGGTCTCTTTAGGGGCTTTCTGCCTACAAGAAGATAGGCTGAGGATGTCTTTGGCCCAGGAGTAGTAAATGTGATGTTCTGTGGACTACAACTCCCATTAGTCCTGACTGTTGGCCGTGCTGGCTGGGGCTGATGGGACTTGTAGTCCAACATTACCTGGAGAGCATCATGTTGACTACCTCTGCTTGGCAGGAATCAGATTGATGGATTTTTTTTGCCCTATTCCAAGTTGTGGCGAAGGCTCACGGTAGTGGTGGTGGTGCTCATAGTGACTGCATTCGGGAAGGTCTCGTGTAGGAGAAGATCTCCACTGATGTGTTAAGCAGAACAAGGCCAATATCTGTACATTTGTACCATCAGGATGTGGTGTGTGTATCCACTTTTCGTCTGCTTAATGAGAAAATAGCATAGTAATTGCACAAGAGGAGAACTTACTCTTCCAGTAACAGGTAAAATTCACTGCTAAATACCACCTGACAGGGCAGGCAAATGGATGGAGAGACCTTTTGTGAGTTCCTTTCAACTCTCCTCTTGCACATTTCTTGTTAGAATCCAGAAGTTGCCTCGGCTCTTGGTTACGACGTCTGACGGACACCTTTACCTCTACAACCTGGACCCTCAAGATGGAGGAGAGTGTGTTCTAATCAAGAAACACAGGTAAATGATACAGCTGAGCTGTTTGAGCACTGCAAGGGGAAATGTCTAGAGGTGGGTTTTTAGCATATGCAAAGGGAAGCCACAGGCTATAATAAAATCACGCCCTGTAGTGCTTTAATTTGTTGATGGTTAAAATTATATGCATGACTTCCTGAACTATGTGAGGTATTCCAAAGCTGCCCCACCTTCTAGCAGAAATCGCAAATGTCTCCTGATTGATGAATCAGGGCAGGCACCTGCACTCTGGCTGTATATACTAGTTTTCTGTAGGTAGGCATCTTCTCCCCCCACCCCCGCCGCCAAGGGGAGCATCTCACAAAATTACACCAGATGGACAAGGACCTCTTGGGTGAAAACCATCAGATGGTTTGGCCTGAAGCACAAAATCTGAAGGCCACTTTATCTCAGAAAGACAGAATTGTCTGCACACAAAAGCCCCAACCAGATTGTGCAGACCTGGGGAGTAGGATGGATCCAGGGAGCACAACAAGGATGCATGTCACATGTGGAATTGATGTAGCAAAACGGATATGTGAGAAAAATTAAGCTCCCTTGTTGGAAGGGAAGAGTCATAAAGCAACACTTCAAAGGTTCTTGGAGGCAAGCAGACACATAACTGGAGGGAGCTTTGCTCTGTGGCAAAGATATGGAAGTCCTTATGGCAGTGGTAGCCAACCTGGTGCCCTCCGGATGCTGTTGGACTTCAACTCCCATCAGCCCCACCAGCCTGCTTGGATAATGGGAGTTGTAGTCCAACAGCATTTGAGGATGAACGCATTGGCTGCCTCTGCCATATGGTTTTCCCAAAAGGATGAGGTGATGCCTGAGCAGCCTCTGATTGCTTTTTAGAGAACTGTTTCAGGTGTTGTGGGTTGTTTTTGTACATTACTGTGGTACTTGATGTTATGCAGTTTATAGATACAGTGGTGCCTCGCAAGACGAAATTAATTCTTTCTGCGAGTTTTTTCGTCTTGCGAATTTTTCATCTTGCGAAGCACGGTTTCCCATAGGGTATTAACGGTTTTAAGAAAAAGGAAACAAACTTGCAAGACGTTTTCGTTTTTCATCTTGCAAAGCAAGCCCATAGGGAAATTTGTCTTGCAAAGCAACTCAAAAAACGAAAAACTTTTTCGTCTTGCGAGGCATTCGTCTTGCGAGGTACCACTGTATTCCGGAAAGATAAGATTTGGAGGGCAAGTAACACAGCCCGAGTAACTGAGCCACAAGGGAAACATGTAGGTTTTATTCCTAGTTTGAGGTGCTTATATTTGCACTGGAAATAGCGGAAGATGACAGTGAAGGTGTTTCGCTCGTCAGGGTGTAGATAATGCCAGGCCTTTGTAGTTGGATCTAAACACCCACCTAGGTATTAATTTGGCTGTCAGCTTTTGAAGTGCTATTCAGCTCACACACCAGCATGCTTCAGATGCAGAGGCTGTGACTAAAAGGCCCGCTACCCTGGGCCGCCCATCTCATTCAGGCATCACCAGCACTCTTGTGTCTTGGCCTGGAGCCTGTGTGTGTTCTGGTCACCCATAAAACTTAGGTCACCTCAAGCGACGGTTTTTTTCTTGGGTGTTGCCTGTGGCTCAGAATCATGGCTGTGTCCTCCTCCTCATCTGGACAGCTGCAGTGGAATTTCTCTACAAGCCCGTCCTTGCTGTCTAGCGTAACAAGCAGAATGACTGCCCGTCTCTTTGCAAAGAGAGAAGTGAGCACTTGTATGTAGTCTGGTGAAGTGTAACGTCTGTGCGTGCTACTGCCCAGCCCTTTGGGCTGGCAAGGGCAAGAGGACTGGGTGGCACCAGGGACTTGCAGGAGGTGCCCACAAGCAGCTGGTGGTGGGGTGGGGGGCTTGCTTGCAACTGGTCTATTCTGTGAATGAAAATCTGCAATGAGCGGGTGAACCCAGTAGCAGAGGGCCGCCATGAACTTCTGTGGTGGAGTACGCTTATTGCCATAAGGGATACGCTTTAATATGATAGTTGTTGTTGTTTAAATAGGGGTATTGCTTAATGTCTAAAGAACTGTCAGAGATACTATATTTCTGAATGCCAGTTGCTGGAAATTGCGCTCAGATCCTGCTTGTTGCCCACTGTGAGAGCAGGCTACTGGACTAGGTGGGCTGCTTATGTTAAATGAGAGCCCTGCCGTCTTCTCTGTAAGGGAGAAGTGTGGGACGACACTGTGGTTGCTCGGTGGTGATGGAAAGGCAATTGGGCTTGCTTTGAGGTCCTGCATAACATTGTGTTGCATGCATATGGGCATGCATATGTATGTCTACAAATTTGGATAAGTAGCTTGAGCAAAGATGGGGAAAAGGAGACCGATAGTTGAAAGGACGGTGGTGCAAGATTAGGATAACAGTGCACGGGAGACTATTTCCCTTACCTGCTGCGCTACTGAAGAAAAGGGGTCTGAAGGATCTGGTGTGGTCCGAGGTCCCTTTCCCCACCTCCACAGCAACATTACACCTGCATCCCAGCACTCTCCTCCCTTTCTTCCAAATGCCAACGTAGTCCTTTTTGGAGAGGTTGTGCTGTCTACATCTGCATAGAGAGGTTTTGCCGTTGTGCATTTGTGTTGGGAAACCAATGCAACATATGGGTCAGAGATGGATGAGACCACGGCACAAGACCCACATGCACCAGCCGTCCAGCTTATACTTTGCTACCCATCACAGTGAAATATGGACATGCATTGTTGATGTTACTGGGTAGCTTGGGAGGTAGTAACTAATTTTATTCTCTTTTTTCCCTGCCTCAACATACAATCAGCTTGCTTGACCTGGGAAAGGCAGAAGAGAACAAAGAAAACGATCTCCGCCCCCCAGTACCTCAGACTTATGCTGCAACGGTAGCCCGGCAGAGTTCGGTGCCTTCACCTTCGATGGTGCCAGGTGAGTGTCAGGTTGTCATTCAAGATCTTCAGGCTCTTGGTTTAGCCAGACCAGAACTGTTCATGGCTAAGTATCCCCAGATAATGACGTATCTATAGATCCCCCTTGATGTTCTTAGGGAAACAAGGTTCTTTTTCTTATCTGTCACATCTTCAGATGCCCTGTACCTGGGAGAAGGGGTCTGGCCATAGGCAGAAGGCCAGGTGTTTCCTCACACTTTTAATTTCACATTGCCTCAGAACCAAACAAAAGAAACTGAAGCAGCTCAGCACCCTTTGCACTTTGTCACAACATAAATCTATGTGGCCAGCGTTGCCAGGCCAAGCCACACGTGTTGTATGATATAAAACCATCAAGGCTGGGTGCATTATGTAGAAGTTTAGAAGAAGAATAAAGTCTGATAATGCGCACAGAATTCAACTTCCCAAGAATCTCAGCAACCATAAAGCAAAAAAAATAATAGATCACCCTGATGCAAATCTTTACCTCTCCTTTATTTTTGTAATGCAGAGAAACAGCAACAAATGTCTTCTGGACATCTTGTTTTGCTCTGTGTTGCTTATAACTGCAAAGTAAATGTAATTATAGGAAACATACCCATTGTGCTGTCTAATAGACAACGCAGACTCCCTTGCTTGCATGTTGGTGATGCGCTTTGCTCATGTCATCCCAAGCAAAGCCACTAGAAATCTGAACCGACTCGCTTGACTACTCTCCTCTCCCCTAAGTAAGACTCTTTCCTCTATCCTGTCTGTGCAAACAAGTTAGAATGTGTTTCTGTCCGTCCTTTATGAAAAGCCTTGGGCGCCACTAATGCTTATTGAAGATCCCACATGAATCAAAACTCTGCATGTCTGATTCACAGTGGAAAGCCTGAGGCTTTCATTAGAATGGAAACTTCTCCCCGCCACAGTCTGGCAATTGCAGTATTGGTGCAGCTCTCACAAGTCCCTTCACTTCTCTCTGTTTTGCCAAACCTTGCAGAAGGAGGGGGGAAAGCACTCAGTAAAATCACCAAATGCCGCCCCTGTTTGCCCAGCCTTTGGGCTTTTCAGCTGTACTGATCTCCAGTATTTTGTTCCTTCTTAAATAGGTTACTCAGAAGATGGAGGAGCCCTTCGAGGAGAGGTTATACCGGAGCATGAATTCGCCACTGGGCCAGTGTGTCTGGATGATGAAAATGAGTTTCCACCTGTGAGCATTAGGAGTACTTAAGAGAGCACTATGGGCCTCATGCTGCGAAGAAAGCGTTTAACCTCTTCTTCCAGAAGGGCTGTCTCTTCCTCTCCTTTCTGTAGCCCGCGGCAACTAAATCAGTTATGCTCTTACAAATGGGTAGATAAACTCCCACTGTGCTGAGAGAGGGGCTTGGGAACAAAATCTTATTTATAATCCTGATATCCTACTGTTGCATTGGTGTCCCAGGCCCAGGGAACTGACTGAGCAGGTCCATTCCTGCGGAGGTTCAGCAGTGCTACAGCTGCAGATGCTTCCAGACCATTTAATTGATTCCCACCCAAACCCTCTTGTCTTCCCAAGAGGAGGGCACGCTCAGAGTTCAAGTCTGGATTTCTGCATTCACAGCTTCAGCAACGCCTCCGAGATGGAAGAGGTGGGAGGAATCCTTCAAATGTCAGAAAGAGGCATGTTTAAGGGCATCTGTTTGGTCCTTTGAATGTGTGTTTGGATTAAGTGACCAAAACGAAAATGATAACTGACTCGTGGCTTTGGCTTTTGTGGGTTCTGGGCAATTGCAGCCCATGCCCCCATTCCTTCCCAACCCAGTCCTATTGCTGGTAGCTTTGCCATACCAGCAAGATGCTCAGCCCACCAGCTTTGCTATTTGCATGTTGGGCTGGGTGGAGGAAAAGACCTGCAGGGCAGGCAGCAGTATAAAATGGTAGTGCAGGTAGAAGCATTACTTAAGGGGAAATGGGCAGGTGCAGTAAGCAAGTGCTGGCTGGGCAGCAGTCGTGCTAGTGATGGAGCTGCTCTTCCATCGCTGGGCTCTCGAGGTAGGACCAGCCTGTGGCGGGAGAGAAAAAAGAGAGAGCGATCAGCAGCCCAAGCCTACTGACTGCTGCATACACAGACCAAACCTGTCTTTAGCAAGGAAGGTTCGAAACTGGAAAACTTAAGGACATTTATTTGTGTTCCCGCTATCTTTCTCCCCTCTCTGTAATAGAAGTCTGCTACCTCCCAGTGTCTCTTTAATCAATGCTGTTTATTTTCTAAGAAGTAACAAGCGATGTATTACGTTCCTTCTAAAGGGTCCCATCCCTCTTGCATGGTCTTGCATTCAAAAGGAGTCATGGGGAAGTGACTTCCATGCTGTGTCTTAACAGCGTCAAGTGATCCAAGCTTATTGCAGAGCTAAGCATCTACCTGCCCAACCGCTTGTCTGCCTTGCTCCTGTTGCCGCTTCTCACGCCTGTTGCTTCCCCTTTCCTGCCGCTGCCAAAATTCTTGCCCCGGGCTGTTAAAGGTGAGAGGAACCGTCCCAGATAGCCGTACGCTGTTGTTTAGAGGCTGGAAGAGGACTGGCTTGATCTAGGGCTAGGGAAGCCTTCCAGATGGTGTGGAACTACAACTCCCACAATCCCCGACTTCTGACCATGTTGCCTGGGGCTGATGGGAGTCCAGCAACACTGGAAGACTCACACGTCAGCCACCTGTTATGTATGGCACCTGCAAGCTCGCTCTCCCCTAACCTTCAAGGCTGCCTCTCATCTTCTCTTTGTGTCTGAGGGGGGAGGAATGCCATGGTGGGTGTGAGAGACAGGATGGAGCTGGGGGTGTTACTTGCCATAGACAGCCAGGCAAGCGGCACATTGCACCTCTGACTGAGGATATAATGGGTTTAGTTTTGGCATTTGTTACTAGTTGTGTGGGCTGGTGAAAAAGCCAAGGCTGAGCAATCACAATGTTCCCTGCTTGCTAGGCCCCCGTAGGAGCTTTTGGGTTTGTTTGTTTTTGCGATAATTAAACTGTTCCCTCCGCATATGGCCATGAACACTTAGGCAGTATCCAACCCACAAAGACTAGTGTTCTATTTTAAAAGTGTAAAGTGTTGGCAATTTGGATTAATGGTTGTGTTAGTCGTGCATGCATATGTACGATTATTGACCTTCTGGGGTTTGGTCACAACTCGGCTGCGCGCTGCACTCAGCATCCTGTTTGAGAAGCTACTGCACTTAAGAGTTGTTTCTTTTTACCTTTGGCTGCCTTAATAGAGGAGGGTGGATGGCGATCTCTTAGTATTTCGTCATCTCTCTAGGATCAGAAACTTGGGATTATTTTTCTCTCCTTTGTACCAACCTCCCAGGTTGTTATGGGGGTTTCCACTTGCCATATTACTTTATGAATCCTCCTCAGTGCTCTGTGAAACTCTTGGTGTGATGATGTGCCTTATTCATAGGGAAATTGCCTCTCCATGGATATTGTAGCAAGCATTTGGCTTCTTAACAGTGCAGGCGGGGATGGGGGCAGTTTGACTGCTGGGCTCAAGCTGGCAGGGCAGAATGTCATTTTTCCAGGGGGTCTGTGTGTAATGGACATACATATCCATCTGTTTTATCATCCCATTAGAAACAATGGGAGGGGAGGTAGAGATTTAGTGATCTCTGTTTCAGGAGCCTGACTGAATAATTCTCTAGTATGGGGGATGTCCAAGCCACTTCCCAGCATACCCTCTTTTTTCTGGCCCTTCTGACAGTGCTTTTAAGGTCAGTTGGACCGGCCCTTTTTGGAGCTAGCAGAGGTGGGAAGGGAAGCTCCGACACGGGACCTCCCTTTCTGATTTTGAAGCTCTATGTCTGACATAGAGGGTAGGTCCATTCTAGTCCATGGCTTGTAAGGGTGGCCCTCCTTGGCAAGGACGGTACCTTGAATTGCTAATATACTGGCATAAAAAGAGGTTTTTCAAAGGGTATGTCTACACTGTCTTCTGCACAGGAGGAAGTATCTACACACATCAGAAACTGCTAAATTAGCCCCATTCCAATTTGGACAAAGTGAACTAGCCACACCAGACCCAAGTGCTAGAAGTTTTTTCCGATGTCTGGGTCGTATTGCAACCTTCACATCACTAAATTGGGCATTCCACTACCATTCCTCCATATTACTTACAGGAGGTAGAGGGGAGAGTTAGGAGGGGAAAGCTAGGAGATCTAATTTACAGCACCAAGAGTACAAGCTCTCTTGTCCAGGCAAGCATAAAAATGTAACTGCCACAATGTGAAATGAGCGTTCTGCATGCGTTGCAGGTGACGATGGTGTGCATACTTTCTCCTCCTTTAAGATGCTCTTCATGTGGAAAGCATCATTGTATGTGAAGCTGTGGATGGGTAAGCCTGTGGAATCCAAGCAGCTTGGGATCAAGTGCCACTAAAAACATGATTGCCGTGCGCCAGCTGCATCACTTATGCTCTTGGAAGAGCAATTTCCATACAGGAGCCCAAGGAACTCCAGCTGTTGTTAGGGTTGGGCGATGCATTGCAGTGTTGAAAACCAGGTATCAGCAGCTAAATATCTGCATATGCTGATATATCACAATGGCTGAAATGTATATCAGCTGCTGCTTTCTCCCCTAAGTGGGGAGGAAGAAGCAATAGAGATACATCGCCCAACCCCATACTGCTGTGGCTTCTGCGAGCAAGAGCAGTAGGAGGGTTTGATCAGCTATGGGGTGGGCAGCTTCCCACCCACCCTGCAGCTGATCAAACCCCTCCCTTCCAGCTCACATGAGCAAGGGCTTGTTCAAAGGCGCCTGCCTGCCTTTGCCCGAGTGGGCAAGCTGCGTCTTTCCTCGTGGGGTCCTTGGTCGCTCTGGGATGAAAGACACAGCCCACCTTCCTGGGCGAAGGCAGGCAGGCAGCAACCAAGCACACAGAGCCTGAGAAGCATGTTCAGGCTCTGTGAATCTGTCTGCCTTTGCCTTCATCCAGTCGGGCAGCCTGACTCTTTCCTCCCAGAGCGACCAAGGACCCCACGAGGAAAGACGCAGCCCGCCCAGACGCCTTTGCCTTTTGCAGACAATTTCAGCTGCTGATTCACTGTGGCTCCCTGGTTGCTGCTAGCACAGCACAGGGGAGACAGGAGGTGCGCTGTGCTGGTGGTGGCTGGGGAACCACGATGTATCAGGTGACCCAGCACATGCTGTGTTTACAACCAAGACAAGGGGTCATTGTTTAAAGCAGAAAACACAATTCTCAGTCTTCAGTTCCCCCTAAGATGGGCATTGGGGTCCGTTCCCAGCCCAGATAATTCCTTTGAATTAAGGACACGCAAAAAAACTAAGTGACCCACAGATTTTGCGGAAAGCAAAACAGTTGCATGGCAAGCTGCCTCCCTGCTGCTTCCTCTGCATGTTCGCAAAGTCCGGCTACAGCACACTCCCTGCTCAACGGCACGCTGCTGGGAAAAGTAAGGCCCTTCTGTTTTGATTTTGGTAGATAAACTTGTGCCGTGGAAGCCAGACGAACAAGAGGTCATGAGGAGTGGCAAACAGCAGAGCACGGAGCGACGGATGGGAGGTAGTTTGGAGAAACAAAAAATGGGAAAGTGGAAGAACCCACAAGTGAGGGGGGAAGCCAGAGGTGCTCCAGTGCTTTTAACACAGTATGTTTCTTCTTAGCCCAACCCTTTCTGGCCCTTTGTGTGTATTCTCTTAAAAGTGCTGCGTGGGTTTGGTATCAATGTACTGTATATGCACATTGCTCTATACTCGAGTGTAAATGTAACCACCACCCCCAAGAACCTGAATTTTATACACATGCCTGCCCTTTTCTAATTTATGTCGTGTATAAATGTACTTAACAGAAGTCTATTGATCTATGTCCTTTGTACAGTATATATACATAATATTTTACCCAGGCAGAATATTTTTGCAGTGACCTATTAGGGAGACAGGAAAAAAAAGAGAACTCCAACTTACTGTGTTGGCACTCTGTTTAAATACCTGTTAATAAAGTCACCATCGTGTCAGCAGCAGCAGCTGTCGCCTTGCGTTCTGTCTTGTTGTTTTGAACGGAGCCCTAAAGATGTCAGCCTTGATTAAGTTTTACCAGTGGAACTGCTGCATCTGCTTGCAAATAGAATCCCTTTTTATTTCTACTGTACACCATGCCTCAGTTGCTATTTTCAGAGAATCGTGTCAGGAGATCCACAATGAGAATTGCCTCCCTTATTTTCCTTCGTATGTTGTGGACCATCCTGCCTGCAAAGAAAGAGAGATACTGTATTTTTCTGTGTCTAAGACAATATTTTCCCCCAAATTTTTAAAGTTTAAAATTGGGGGTAGTCTTATACACAGAATGTTGGAATTATTTAATTTTGGGCTCAAAAAATACAGGTTGTCTTATACATGGGGGCGTCTTACACACACAAAAATACGGTAATTATGTCTATAGCATAGTAAGGACCCGAGTCACTATTATCATTTAAATAATAATTCTTTAGATTTTCAGATCCTTGTAATTGGCTCTACCCGATCTTGCAGTGACTCCATATGCCTAAGACCTACTTTAAAGACCCCCTCAAATGTCTTGGGCCATGGCTCCTACTTAAAATAAAAATGACAACCGTCTGTCTGGTTCTCGTGTCCCTGTTTGTAACACCTTACGCAACTAACTCGTCTCATCCTGATGTCAAGATGCAGCAAGCCCTGCCAGTCCGTGATGCAGAGATGGAGACAGGGAAATGCATAATCAGGTCACAGGTAAGTGATGCCAGACATGATGGAGGGGGGCAAACCAGACATGTTGCCATTTTGGGTGGCCGTCACTCAAGTGTGACTGCTTCCAGCACTGGATTGAGGTGACTTTTGCAGAGAGCAGTAATTGCTTAAGGAGTTAAATGCCACCGATGCTGAGATGAAATGTCCCCATTTACAAAAAAAAAGCGTGGTAAGTCTACAGTCTTATAGGTGGGAGGGTCCCCTAGAAAGTTGCATATACACTGCTCTTCTAACAGGATAGCATGTGCATCCTCAGAGGAGCTCCAAGTACACCTGCAGAAAGCTTTTTTTTTGCAGGGAGAGACGCATGTTGGGGTGGGCCTTGGATCCAGAAGCCCCTTTTTTCTCCAAAGCACTAAGAACTACACCAGTCTTTAGGGTGGCATATAGTTCATTTTCCCTCAAGTAGTAAAGGTAAAGGGACCCCTGACCATTAGGTCCAGTCGTGGCTAGGTTGGCAGGAGCAGGGACCGAGCAACAGGCGCTCACCCCGTTGCGGGGATTTGAACCGCCGACCTTCTGATCAGCAAGCCCTAGTCTCTGTGGTTCAACCCACAGCGCCACCCGCGTCCCTCAAGTATTATGCATTAAATCAGCAGGGCTGAGGATGTGGCAATAGTTCTCTACCATGAATGCTTCTGTGTCCCACCTACTCCACCAACAATAGGATTGCTCTGGTTTAAACAAAATACAGTTATTTACTTGATCGTTTCCTTACAATAATAAGAACAAATTCTCTGGGCGCTTTACAGTCAAAGTCGAAAGTAGAAAAACAAGAACATACATACATACATACAAACGTGCAACAGAACAAAGCAAAAGTATAAACAAGGGCTAACAATACAGTGGGTGCTCGGGTTGCGAACGTGATCCGTGTGGCACGTTCACAACCCGCAGCATTCGCAACCCACAGCGCTGCATCTGAGCATACGCAGGTTGCAATTTGGCGCTTCTGCGCAAAGCATGGTTTAGTGCTTCTGCACATGTGCGAGCATCAAAACCTGGAAGTAACCCATTCGGGTAATTCCAAGTTTCGGCGCGTCCATAACCCGAAAACGCGCAACCCGAAGCGTCTGTAACCCGAGGTATGACTGTAGTGCCAAAGTTGTAAAAAGCAGATCCAAAATTAGGGAGCCTGGCTTGTGTGCATAAAGACTTAGAGCCATGTTAGAAATCTAGTCTGATTATAAAAGAAACAGCAGATGGAAGCTGCCCCAAATGGCACTGATTCAAAATATTTACATACCACCTTTCAACCCAAAATTATCAGAATGGTTTAGGATGTAACAAAGTTTCCCCTGCTATTCTAACCTTGAGTCTTGTAGGCTTCACTTTCCATATCAGCTCAGCATCTCTGGAATGAGTTGGAATAAGCCAACTGGCACCGGCAGACCAAATGCCGTGGGTTGCAGCAGGGTGTCACAGCTGGGTCATGAGAGTAGTCCGCTGTAGAGACATTGTCTGTTGCAATATTCCACAGAATGTCCAGGAGAGCCTTGTTCGCCACTGGCAGGACAGCACGGTACTCTGCAGTCTCAATGTCCAGCGGTGCCGCCTCCTGGATGTCATGCTGTAAGTTAAAAATGAGAGGTGGCTGATGGCGCCGTTCCTTCCCAATGCTCCCATCACAGGCCTTGGCACCACCTGGAAACAGATGAGGCATGCAAGATGTTAGGGCTGCCATCTTTTAACAGGTATTCCTGTTGCAGAAGTCATGCAGTTAAAAGGAAAAACACCCAGAGCTCATTAGTGTAGCTTAAGCATGATACAATCTAGCCAACGGTAAACACTTTTACCCATTGATTTTGTGGAGGGGAACTAAGCACAGGCCCATTACAAGAATGGACCGGTTGCAGGAGCAATGGGTGGTCCAATGTCTGAAATAGGTATCTGTAACATGTTTGCAGTTGGTTGCTTCTCTGTTTATTGTTTAAATACAAAACTTGGAAGTCTTGGAAATAATGCAAGATAGGTTCAGGAGGACCTGATACCAGCATCGCATGACGGCAACATTGGTTTCCCACTTTAAAAGTTTGTGAAATGCCATGAGAAAAATGGAATTCTGCTGTTACACAAAATACTACAGCCATCAATGAAAAACAGGAGCATCAAACAGAGGAATAGCCAAGGCGGGCAAGAGTGGGCTCCTATGTTTAACCCTTTGACAAGGACTTGTTTACTTCACTGGCTGTCTCACAACCAACAGATCACACAAGGAAAGCCTTGCTGGACCAAAGAAAACGCCCATCTATTCCGCATCATCTGTCTCACAGTGGCCAGCTGGACGCGTACAGGAATTCCACAAGCAGAACCTGAGAGCCACTGCAGACTCCTTGCAAATGGTATTTTAAAGGGATAAAGGTCTCTTAACAATGGAGGTAGAACACCATCATTGTGGTAATCCTACATCTGGGCTGTACCACTTGTTCTCCAGCTCCCTGCTCTGGCTAGCACTGGAGGCAATGCCTGTTACTTCTATATTTGGGTGTCACCAGTGCCAGACCCTCGAGCCCCCAAAATAAAAAGACAATTTAAAAATACCTAGGTACAAGGACACCTCATCTGAAACATCCTCATTAACCACAGCTATACAGACCAAAACTTCCCCATACAAAAATGCAGATGGCAACACCAATGAACCATATTAAAGCCATTGAGGAGAAGGAGATGGTTGGTGCAACCCTTAAGAAGGTGCCCCTGTTGAAAACAATTAACTCCTTGACTGCTTTTGCTTCATCGTGTGAGGGGTTGGGCTCCTGCCCACACCACAGAGGAAGCAAACCTTCAGGTACACGGACTGTCCTTATTAACAGGAGGCAAACCTGACCTTGCTACCCAGGAGGAGCAGGAGCACAAAATGTTCTGCCCACACAAGCATGCACTTCTATTTGCCTGGTAATAATTAGCCCTGGCGACAGAGCAAAAGCATCCTCCTAATGATCCAGCAAACTAATTTAACAGTTGTTTACATCCCTTAAGGACAGGTTCCCTGCACCACGATTCTGCACTCTGCTGTTTTGCACTTGGCACTCAAGGCCAAGTATAGCCTGGCCTTGGGAGGCCTCTTCAGACCAGATCACAACCCTTTCCCTTTGCTCCCTCAAACTGCCCTGTCCATCCTATGGCGGGAAACTTGTAGCATCATATACCTCCAATGGTTCAGCATGCCCGCCTATTGTTTCAGGAACCCCTTCCTCCTCCAAAGGGACGCGGGTGGCGCTGTGGTCTAAACCACTGAGCCTTGGGCTTGCCAGTCAGAAAGTTGGCGGTTCGAATCCCCACGACAGGGTGAGCTCCCATTGCTCGGTCCCAGCTCCTGCCCACCTAGCAGTTTGAAAGCACGTCAAAGTGCAAGTAGATAAATAGGTACCGATCTGGTGGGAAGGTAAACGATGTTTCTGTGCACTGCTCTGGTTTCGCGGCTTAGTCATGCTGGCCACATGACCCGGAAAAAACTGTCTGCGGACAAACGTCGGCTCCCTCGGCCAGTAAAGCAAGATGAGCGCCGCAACCCCAGAGTTGTTTGCGACTGAACTTAACTGCCAGGGATCCTTTACTTTTACCCTTCCTCCTCTAGCCTCAGCCTCAACGTCCCTCACCTTTTGTTCTTAGGTAACCTCTTCCCTCAGGAAACCCGATTTTGGGAGTGTGTTCAAGATCTGTTACTCGGAAAGGACATTGTGAGTGCAACCTAGTAGTGACTAGCTCAGTGAGGCAGGATGTGCCTTGAGGAAGGCTCTAGCTCAGGGGAAGAGCACACACTTTGCATGCACACTTCCAGGCGACTTGAGGTAGGGCAAGATGTGAGGTGGAGAGATCAGCAGTACTGAGCTAGGTGGACACGTTGGTCTGACCAAGTATAAAAGCAGCTTCCTAAGTGATTCAAACCATGCATTATAGACCTTGATTACATTGTTTTAATGGAGGGTAGGGCTGGGCGATAATCTGGTTTTCAACATCACAATAAATCAACAGCTAAACTTCATGATATACCGATATATCACGATGTCTGAAATAAGGATGGCGCTATGTAGAGGCATTGGCTGGCTTCAGTTTTCCCCGCCTCATGATTTTTGCATAGCGCACCCCCAATATCATGACATGCAATATATTGCCAGGTCACAAAATTATGAAATCGGTATCACGACATGAACTTCAAATGTGTTTTGGAGAATATATCACCCAGCCCTAACACACATCACAATTTGCGATATAATTGCCAGGTCAAAAAGAATGAAATGGAATAGCATGATATGGACTTCAAAACCTGTTTTGAATGATGTATCAATATATTGCTCAGCCCTATTTGGGGGATGAGGATAAAATGTACCCAGATTTTAACTGGAAGGCAGGGTGGAGAAAGAAGGGAATAACTAACTACTGATCTGATAAAAGGGCTCTTCCAATCCTTCACAGCTGCAAGTGCTGTATATGAGCAATCACATCAGTGGAAGCTAAGATTGTGTGTGTGTATAAAAACTTGCAGGAGGACTAAATCAGGCAAGGAGCCTCTGGAGAGAACGACAACGGAGGAAAGGAAGGAGAGGGACACACATTACGTGCAGTGACAGCCCATGCTGCTTAGCAGAGATGATAAGAAAGCAGCCCTTTGGTAATTATAGCTCAAGAAGCCTGAGTCGCAGCTGCCTCTGCAGGTTTCTGTAGGTCTGGCCCATGTTGACCCCATTCCAGAATGCCGGCTTGAAGGCCCAGGATAGGTGAGCAAGCCATCACCAGTGTCTATTTTCATTTTGCTAGAAAAAGAGGAACACACAGATATAAAAATAGCTGCGAGGTCGCACGGTGTGGCATGAAAGCTGAAAAGGTAGATCTTGAAGAGGAATGCTAACAAGTGCAAGCATTTTGAGGGCAGTGCTCCCCTCTTGCTGCTGACAGGCGCACTTTTCTAATTAGGAAAGGGAGAAAGAAGTGCCTTAACACTGGGCCTTTCTCTCCGCTACTTGTGGGGAGAAAGAATGGAAGTGAGAAGGCTTTTGAAAGCAGCAAGACTGGTCTGTAAACTACTAAAGTCAAGGCTGGGAAGAGGAGGGAAGAAGTGTGGGGAATGGGTACCCCACAAAACTGCCCAGTGGCTTCATCCACACTGCAGACAGAAGTGCATTCTGGTACAGTGGTACCTCAGGTTAAGAACTTAATTCGTTCTGGAGGTCTGTTCTTAACCTGAAACTGTTCTTAACCTGAGGTACCACTTTAGCCAATGGGGCCTCCCACTGCCCTGCCGCGTGATTTCTGTTCTTATCCTGAAGCAAAGTTCTTAACCCGAGGTACTATTTCTGGGTTAGCGGAGTCTGTGACCTGAAGCGTCTGTAACCCGAGGTACCACTGTATAGCAGAATGCAGGTGGGCTAAGAGTCGGTCTCTAGCTGAGTTTCCTCTCCTTTTATTCTTTTTTAAAGTGCGCCCTCTTAGCCATACCTGCGCAGATGTATTTTGGCAAAGTGGGAAACTGAGGCAACTGCCTCAGGTGGTGGATGCAAGATGGTGGCCTCCCCTGTGCCTACTGCTTCCTTCCACTGGTCCTGCTGCTACTACCACATTCTGCTCTCTGCCTCCTCCTTTTCCTTCCTCCCTAATTCCACATCCTTGGAAGGGCCGAGCAATTATGGGCAGGGTGTGTAGCTGCTGCCGCTAAATAATTTTAAAGTTTAGGCAGCATTTTTAGTTGCTGCCGCAAACTACAGGCATGTGCCCAGCACACCCAAAAGGCTTTGCTCTGCTAGTCAGATGCAGATGCAGAGAAGCACCAGCCTGGAAAGATAAACAGAGAGTCTGGGGACTCAGCCAACTGCAGGGGCTCTTAACCCCCTTCAAAATCTGCTTGGATCTCCTGGTGTTCCTCTAAACAAACCTAGGGGATACAACAGCCACTCTAGAAGATCTGAGTGGATTTTGGGTGGGTGGCTGTTCTGTTCTCCCAGCCAGATTCTACTCAAGTGTCACGTAGCACCACAGCAGACCACGAAACACACACCCGCCAAGACATCTCTGCTCATTTGGCAGAGGACTGTTCCACCTTTGGGCCTAAATTCTCATTCTCTGTATGGGTGTCCATCTTTACAAAACTAGGGCTACCATATGTCTGGATTTTCCCAGACATGCCTGGGAATCGGGCAGCATTTTGGCATCCAGGTGGATTTCCCCAAAATCAGCAAAATGTCCAGGAAAACCTAGACGTATGGCAAGGGGGGTAATTTTATTTTTTTAAAATCCCCCCAAAATGAAGAAAAAGCCCCATAACTTATTTTTAATGTGGGGGGGGGGGAGATGTCCCCCCAAAAGCTGAACAGATTTTCAGTTTTGGGAACCCTAACAAAAAAAAATGATTAAAAATTAAAAACAATCTATTCAGCTTGGGGTGGGTTTTGTTTTTGGTGGAGTGAAGGGGGATGGATAACTGCCTTAGAGATACAGCTAAATAACGTAAGAAATATTGTAAAAAAGGAAAATAGAAGTGGGGGGTAGGCATAAAGGCAATAGCAAAAATTGGAAATGTGTAATTAAAGAAAATATAATTCGGATGATTGGCAGAGAGGTTGAAGGAAGTAAAAAAATGGAAAAATAGAAGTTGTAATGCAGTGTGATTTGTATTTTCTTTCGATGGAAAATTAATAAAATATAATTGTAAAAAAAAAAAATAGAGATACAGCTAAATATTGGATTTGGTTCTGGGGGAAGATGACTGGTTTTATTCAGCAATGCTTCAGAAGGGGAGAGGGAACATCCCACAGGGTTGTTTTTTTTAAAAAAGCACCTCACAAATCCAAGTAAGCAACATACCTGTGAGATAAAATGCCTTGTACTGGTCCACCCGAAGAGCTTGTATCTCTCCATATTTTCCAGCGGCCCCACTGTTAGGATGGAACAACGTCTAGGGGAAAGAAAGCGCCAGAAGCTTAGAAAGTCAGCCCTTTTTAATGGAATACTGAATGGTTTGGTTTATATAAAATATGCAGGGATTTATGCTATGCAAAATGAACCATGGAAAGAGAAGAAGGGAAGTCACTGATATTTTAAGGTTGTATAAATGAGTATTCTAAATTGTAAAACGGAAAATTTAATAAAAATTATAAAAAGGGAGAAAAGAAAATGAGAATCAGTCTGTTTCACTTGGTAAAGCTTAGGGAGGAAATGCATGAATTTAACAGCATGAAAAATAGACACATTTGCTGCTCAAAATAGCAGCTATGCATATAGCACACTTCTGTATCTCCTGATAACGAAACTGGACGTGCTGTTTAAATGCGTATTTGCATTTAACTTTTTTAAAAGTGTGAATAGCATCTGCTGAGCAGGTGGGCATAACTTAAAAGGTGCTTTGAAAGAGGGATAGTTGCTTTTCATCTACACTCTGGTAATCAGGTTTCGTAGGTATTGTGTTTAAATAAAACCTGCAAAACCTTGTTTCGCCAGAGCAGTAGTGAGACGATGGGAAGCCATGCGTTTGTCAAATATATCCAGCTCTCTTAAGTTGTTTTCCTGTACTCGTCTATCAGAGAAGGCGCACGCACCACACAGGAATTAGTTCTGGGTGGCTGTGTCCGAGGATCATGCTGTTAAGTATTACTGTTGGTCTCAGTGTCAGCAAACCTTGAAGTGCCACTTACAGAAATCAGGCAGATTTACTCCTCCGGTTCTTAGCGTCTATCTTATTTGAGCGACAGCTTTGTAATGCTCACATGCATGAGTCAATACAAGACGGCCACGAATCTGTCTCTGCAGAATACAAATCCTTGATTCTCAATGACCTAATGAACAACAACAACAAAAAGGGTCTCCTTTTCCCTTTCACAGAGGTGTGACCCAAGTCATTCATACATTCCTCCTCCTGTGCAAAAACCGGTTTGGTGACTACGCTTAACGCAAGTTTCTCTTTTGATCCCTCCTGGGCACTTAATCCCTCTGGGTCTCAATTTCCCACATGTACAATGACCGTAACAGCATTCCTAGTGCTCCACAAGACTTTAGTATGGAAAATAAATACATTCACATGGCCGTTTCATACACTAATGAATGGGAGCCATGTGCTACATTCAAAGCAGGGGGAATCTTGGGCAATAAGTAAGAACTGCAGGAACAAATTGATCCATATGTCTAAGTCCATGGTTCTCCTTACCCAACACAGGTTGGGAATAAGTTTGCAATTATGTATTTATTTTTTGTCATGTTGTAAGCCACCTTTAGCATGGTTTGAACAATGGAAAGGTAGCATACAATAAAAGGAAGTATGTACGTATTGTTACACGACACCCCTGTCTCCAGGAGGCGTGAGATTCCCAAGGCATGCTTTGTAACCTTGTGTTTCACTTTGGACAATTCGGCATGGCAGAGACTGTGGTGTCTTTATGATCTATGGTTTCCACATCCTGAAGCCTCCTACGGAGGAAGTTCAGCACATCAATATTCCATGAGGTTTCTATCCCTCTCCTAAGCACAGCACTGCTTGCAAGAAGAGACATCAACATCTCTCTCTAGTACAGTTGTTTCCGCACCTTTGCAAATGAGAGTTGCTCTTTTCATCCCTTTGTTGTTGCCTAAATGGCTCATCCTAATGCCTCTCAAGGAAATTATTTGAGTTCATCAGCTTTTACACTTGTCTTAATTAGAGGATAAACAAAGTCTGGCAGAGGCTTAAATAAACACTGACACTGGCTCGAATACACATGTGAGTCTAGCTCAGGGCGTTTCAACACACAGCCTGGGGGTCACAGGTGCTTGAAGCCCCCCACAACAGCCCTTGAGAGCTAGGCAAGTGAGGTGCTGGGCTTTGGGAAAGGGGCGTGAGGGCTGGGAGCCATCAAATTGTAGCCTCAAGCTCTCTGCTCCCCATGCAACAAGGCAGTGCGTGGCCCACGTGTTCCGTGTCACAGTACCCTTGTGGGTACCCTTGTGGAACAGTTATGAAAAGTTGGACCATCCTGATTTCCCGGTTCCAACACCCAAGCCTTAATTAAATTCTGGCACTAACTTGATCCGGAATTTAGGGTTTCTTGCACCCCCAGATTCATAACACTATATACATACATATACAATATGTATATTGTCTCAGAAAACACAGAGGTTGGAGGAGGGGTTGTTGGGGGAAGGTGCCTTCAAAAGAAGGAAAAAAATACCCTGTTGTTTCTTTCTCCTGGATTTTGTTTGTCTTCTCATTTCATAAGGCTGGGAGAGCTGCATACTGTATATTTATATAGAGACTAAACCCGAACACGACAGATGAAAACTGCAAACCAGGAAGACAGGTGTAATACCCCTGATATTCATATACAGTGAGTCTTATACACTCAGCCTCACACCATTGATTCATCACTAGGGATGCAATCCTGTGTCTCCTGAGTGTTATCACAGCAAACACAGGACAGAGCAGTGCTCCAAATCAGAAAGGAAGATCTGATGTCAGATGCCCCATTCCTCACCCCACCACAGCAATTTCTGCAGCCCTGGCCCAACCAGTGTCAAAATCCTCAAGTCCAGAAAGGGGGTGCAGGAGTCAGGGTGGACTGGGAAACAACTTAGATCTGGTGCCCCAACATGCCTCTAAATCAGGGATAGATTTATACTGGCATCCTGGATAGCTCAGTTGGTTGGAGTGTGGTGCTGACAAGGCCAAGGTCGCAGGTTCGATCCCTGTATGGGACAGCTGCATTGCAAGGGGTTGGACTAGATGATCCTCAGGGTCCCTTTCAACTCTACAATTCCATGATTCTATGATCTTGCATCTTTCCCTCCCAATGTTTCAGACGGGAGGGAAACAAGGGCAAGAGAAGGGCAAGAGTGGTGCTCCCTTAGGATTGCACCCTAAATGATGTGTGACTATAATCCAACAGCATGAATGCACAGGGCTTTTTTTTCAGTTGAAACTCACCAGAACTCATTTCCGGCACCTCTCAGGTGGTCGCCATGGCCATTATGAAAGAACAAGAGAGGCACTTCTCCCCCCAGAAAAGCAGCACTGCTGATGCATATGATGTAGAAGCTCTGCTCACATCTGTGAACAGGGGGAAGAGTGCCATTTTAAATGAGGGATGTGGTTAACGCTTTACACCGCACTCCCTAATTTGTCCCGTCTGTGTCCTGCGGTACCACGAGGATGACAACAAGACAAGCTGTCCCCTCCTGCCGCAACGCCGCTCTGTCTAGCAGCGCCAACATCAGAGAGCCTAGGCTGGGTCAGCTGCCGAAGCAAAGGGGCTTGCACAATGGCTGTGCCTGTGAAGCATAAACTGGCTTTCTGCTCTCGTTTCCCGGAACAGCAGCGCAGCTCTCCTCTGCTGACTCAGTGTGGCACATTCAGCTTACTCTCTGGAGCTGGGAGTCCCAGATTCCCAAATTACAGCAACAAGGGATAGGAGCAGAGAGTTGGCAGCTCATGTAAGAAGTCCAAGCTTCTCAGTTTCCTGGCTACACACAAGAGATGCTCCTCTCCAGGTAAAAAGAAAATATAAAGGCTCATTGTCAAATATCTATTTCAAACAGCAATCTCGCCACAGGGGGAAGGTAAAAAGGAAATTTACCGCGAGTTCCTGTTCTCCAGGCTTCTCAGAGGGTACCCCCTGACCATTAGGTCCAGTCGTGACCGACTCTGAGGTTGTGGCGCTCATCTCGCTTTATTGGCCGAGGGAGCCAGCGTACAGCTTCTGGGTCATATGGCCAACATGACTAAGCCACTGCTGGCGAACCAGAGCAGCCGAAGCGGTACCTATTTATCAACTTGCACTTTGACGTGCTTTTGAACTGCTAGGTTGGCAGGAGCTGGGACCGAGGAAGAGACTCTGCTTCCTGATGGAACAGGCCGCTCTCCCCTGTGCTGTTCCAGGTGTTTTGCTGACCTACCCCTCAGAGTCAATTGCGGGGGGAGGCATGCCCCATTGCAATGGCAGAAGTCCTTGTGCAGGCTTCCGCAGGCGGCGCTCTATTAGGTGAGTCCCACCCAATTTCTCTACTTTTTGTGAAATATAAAAATAAGCATAATGAAGGTGTTCAAAACACACAATACACACTCCTGCTTAAATCTTTATCCAGTAGGCTCTCAGCACTGGTCTGGGAAGCGGTGTGTACACGTTGGCCACAATCCTTACTTTCCCTATCCTGATGTTTCTTACAAAATACCATGTTTTCTCCCAAACCAGCTATTCTCCAAATAGAGAAAAGGGATGACCTAGCTGTGTTTCAAGTCGGCAATGTGTACACAGCTTTACTGGAACTGCTGTGTGTTGTGATGTATTTCCTTTGTTTCATCATGCCTGCTACCCGCTCAGAGCAGCTTTTCACAATGTAAATGAGTTTGTTGCCCAACAGCTGTCATTATTCATTCCTTACCCAGCTTTAATTGGCCATGGAACTGGAGGCAGAAAATTGTTACCAAGGTATGTTGGTTTAGGGTTTAGAGAAACGAGCTGGGACCTCTGGCTTTCCCTTTTTGTGCTCATCCAGCTTCAGACATGCTTAGGGCTAAAGACACAGTGGCTTGGCTGGTGTTGCAGCAGCAAGTCAGAAGCAGCCTAGAAGTTTGGGGATAGGCTCCACCTTGGATTCTTTGAAATGGCCTCTGATCCAAACAGGTAAGTAAGTCTCGCACGCTGCTCGGGGCCGTCAACCAAGCTGAGTGATAAAGAAAGCAGGCGCCTACATCACGCCACATTTTGCTATTCTAAAATGTTATTTATCATAAGAAGTAAGTATACTTAACAAGAGTTCTTTCTAAGAACATTGTTTTGCATGCATGCTTTTAAGAAGCCTGCCTTGGCTGCTGGCAACTGACTTTCCCCGAAAGGGTTCTGTGCCTGGATAAGCAAACAGACAGGCTGAACTTAAGAACACTCCTTCCCCCAAGCTGGTCTTTGTTTGGGGCATCCAGAGTTCTGCAATTCTCTGTGGGTAGCAGTTTTGAAGGAAGCACCCTTCCAACATGACAGGAGGCTCTTAGGCTATATTTAACATCTGAAACATGTCAAGGAAAAGGGCAACAAGAAACAAAGCTAGATTTGGTTTTGTGAAATACTGGTCTGCATCTAATACAGTGGTACCTCGGGTTACAGATGCTTCAGGTTACAGACTCCACTAACCCAGAAATAGTACCTTGGGTAAAAACTTTGCTTCGGGATGAGAACAGAAATCGCGTGGTGGTGGCACAGCAGCCCCATTAGCTAAAGTGGTACCTCAGGTTGAGAACAGTTTCAGGTTAAGAACGGACCTCCAGAACAAATTAAGTTCTTAACCAGAGGTACCATTGTACTGTACGGAAGGGGGGGAAATCACAATTATTTTCCTCCCACCCAGCCATGTAGAGGTACAGCTAAACTCAAATCATCCATCAGTGGGAGACTCTCTTGCGAGAAACTGTCAGCTCTCCTCAATTGTTCTGGAATTAACCGATATTTTATTGGTCTTCGGTTTTGAAGGTTTGGGGTTTCATAGCAGTCCTCAACAGCTTCAGAGAACTGCTTGTTTTCAGGTCTGCTGTGAAACTGCTGCTCCAAATCCCCAGTTGGCACATGTAGCCAAAAAACAAATGCCTCCTTGTAACTGTGGGAAGTTAGGGAAAGTGCCCTGGAATTTGGAGACACCAAAGCTAACAAGCAGGTTTTTCTGCCCAGCACAGAATCTAAGTGGAAAGCTTCCTTCGTTTCATCAGGTCATCCATTGGCTTCTCTCTTCTTAGCCAGAGACCTGATGGGTACAAGATGCTGAATATTTCTTACTGGGTGTGGGGACTGCACATCTGTTACTCTCAATGAGCATCAAGGGATATCGAACATCATGACCATCTTCAACAACAATGCAAACAGCTGTCTTTCTGTAGTCTCCTCGCATAGCAACAAAAAGCTACTGAAGCACTAGATAGGAAGAGGAACGGATATTCGACCCCTGCCTGAGCAGCCCCAGGGCAACAGCATAAAAGGAAGATGAAGAATACCATCTTCCCCCAGTTGCTCAAAAGGCTTCATATTCATGTTGTTAGGGAGGATACATACTGTACTTTTCCGTGTATAAGACTAGGTTTTTTTATTAGAAAATAATGTTTAAAATTGGGGGTCGTCTTATACATAGTTATATCCTCCCCCCATTTTCTTAACTTGGAGTCCCCCAAAATAGGGGCGTCTTATACACAGGGGCATCTTATACACGAAAAAATACAGTACGTGCAACAACAAAAGAGAAGTCATTGTTTTTCCCATAGAGGTTCAGATGTAGCAGGAAACCATTGAGTTTGATATACCACTATAATAATGGATGGTTGTATCATTTTTGCCATTGAAGTGTTCACTCTTGAACCTCTGTCATCTCATTCTATCCCTGGGTAGCTACTGGAGGCAGGAATATCTGAATTGTTGGGTTAAAACAAAAACAGACCAATGCTTACAGGTTCTGGTCTCTCAAGTGGTCACTGACTGCCCAAATGTGAAACCATTGTAATGAATAATGTCCCAAAACTGGACATATTGCACTTGGGATAATTATCCAGAATTTATGCCTAGCTGAAAATATCCTTGGGGGGCAAAAACTGATATTATAATCCAAGTGAAAGTAAATCTGAAAAGCTCCAATGAACAGCTGAGTATGATCATGACAATGCAGTGAAGGGATGTTCTGCAATTTTGATGTAAGGCAATAACAATAATAATCTGAAAATAAAAGCAAGCATTCTCTCTCAGATATTCATATTGTCCAAGCAGCCTCAAGATCCAGTGTTTACATGGCCTATTTACTTCCCTCTCCTGCTCTGGTTGATGCAATTGTGGTCTCCAGCCTGGGAAGGAACCCTCCAGAAATCTTTTCAAGTAGAAATACTTGGAACAAATTCTGACAGATGCTTACATTCATAGGGGCCTGGAACTGGGCTCCCTCCACTTGTGCTAATCACCCCCTGGGAATGTTGTTGCCAAGAGCATTTTAGGATTCAGATCTTGGAATGCAAATTTGTCCCGGGCCTTTTAACAGGCCACAACTTGTCTGGAAAATAGAGTTCTGGGGAAGGGAAGGGATAGGAGGGCAAAGGTAGAATTTAAAATAAAATCAATGCAGCTTTTAACAGTGTCTGGGTTTTTAAATATATATGTGTGTGTATTTTATTCTGCAATGAAAAAGTAATAAATAATCTAATTTCCAACAAAGGCTCCAAGTCAGATGTTGTTCCTCAAGGAAAGGAGGTTGACTGAAATAAACATCTTGTTTTCCATCTAAGTTGCCTTGTTTTCCTAAAAACCTGTAATCCTCTTCTGTACTCCAACCACCTCTGCTGCTGCAGGGAGGTACGGCAGGACCCTCTGCCACCTCAGGGAGGCCTGATAAGGCCCTCCGCCACTGTAGATATATATCGTGATATATCAAGGTATTGTGATATTTAGGTGGTGATATATCTGTTAGGAGTTCAGCCTACACTCAAGTAGGACTCTGGCAGAGACACCTGCCCGACTGACATGTTCCCTCCCTCCTGGTCGATCGTTCAGGAACTTCATAAGCTTTCTTCAGCCCAAACATCACAGCGACCGATGCCAACCGACACCGGCACACTTAGGTATCCGCAGAGTTTGTGCAACTTGCGTGACAGACAGCAACTCAGCATTTTGGCTAATCTACGTTAAGCATCAAGAGAAAATGAAATTTCAACAGTGGAGACTGTTGACTTAGTGAAAATG